TGAGATTTTCCTACCCTTGCCCTTTCGTCGCAGGTTGTACATTACAAGTCGCAAGAAGTTTTACGAGTACATACGCATGAGGAGAAAACAAAGGGACGAAATTGCGTGTCTAAAAGATGGCATCGGAAACTTATAATTTGAATGGGGACAGAAAGTGCAATTACTGTCTCAGTTTTTTTAATCGGTCTTCATGGAGTAACCCACAGAAGAAAATCAGCAGTTTGAAATGGACGGAGACAGCCGGAGTCTTCAAATGCCCCAAGATACTGCCGTCCATCAGACCGTTGTCTTTTCTATCGAAGAAGTAAGGCGCGTCCTCAGTAAAATAAAACCTGATAAGTCGCTTGAACCCGTCGGAATTCCTGCGATGATACTTAAGGAGCTATCAACGGAGCAGTCAAAGCCTCTTTCGATTCTGTTTGAGCTGTCAATGAGAACAAGAGGGGCGCCATCATAGTGGAGGACAGCTAATCTCGTTCTCTTACATAAAAGAGGTAGCAGAATGGCAGCAAGCAGCTTCAGGCCAATTAGCTTAACTTATCTCGCATGCAAAACGGCCGAAACTCAAGTAAAGAACGCTATACAGCAATTTTGTGGAGAAAATAACATCTTGCAGGATTTTCAACATGGCTTCCGGAGAGGACGTTCCTGTTTCGCTATCGGCATTCGGGGAGAACTTGTAAACTGGATAAGGGCGTTTCTGCTTGGTCGGAAACAGCGTGTCTATATGGGAGATGATATGTCCGAATGGGTGAACGTGATCAACTGTGTGCCTCGAGACTCAGTTTTGCGACCATTGCTCTGTATCCGTTTTGTTAATGACAGCCTTCAGTAACTCGACTGCCGATGACGTTAAGCTCTGGCAAGTCATTAAGGATCCGAATGATCAGAGATCCATTCGAGATAATCTTCACCGACTGCAAACGTGGTCGGAGAAATGGCTTCTAGGCTTAAATGTGGAGAAGTGTGCTGTCCTTCATCTGCGTCCAACCAACTCTCATTTAAATAAGAGCCTGAGAACTTATCACCTGAAAGATATAAGACTCCCTACAGAATCTTCACAGAAGGATCTCGGGGTTAGGATACAGAACAACCTGAAACCAACGCTGCAGTGCCACAAGGCTGCAAAAAACGCCACGGGAGTGCTTATGCAATCAAAAGGACGTTCGTAACCTTTGACCAAGACCTTTTTGAGAGAGTTTACGGCAACCACGTAGAGTACGGCATAGAAGAGTGGCGTGCATGGCTAGTTAAGGACCAAACATGCCTCAAACGGGCACAACGTCGTACAACAAAGCTGGTAATCGGTCTAAAAAGCCAAGGCAGACTGAATTGCCTTCATTTATTCCCTCTGTTTTACAGGCAGCAAAGAGGTGATCTTATAATCGTCTGCAAGATATTACATGGACTTGAGCCTGGACTTAGATTTGAGGACATCTTTCAGTGGCATCTGTCACCCAATCTTCGTGGTCACTCGATGAAGTTACAGACACCAATGTCCAGGCTGAATATTCGTTCTGAATTTTTCACGCAGAGGGTTGTGGCGAAATAGAGCGATCTCCCTCAGTCCGTCGTGGAGGCGACGTCTCTGCAACTCTTCGAGAAACGCTTGGATGATTATTTGTGTCCCCTGTTTTCCCTCGACAGTCTGAATCTGAACTAATACCCCACAACCCCGCAAATATTTTTTGTGATACAATGCTACTCAACTGAATCAAGAACTGCTTTAATAACGAATATTTCATTAATCGTGTACAGTTATTTCCAACGAGCTGACATGTAATCAATAGGGTTTTCAAAGGCTTAGCTATTATCTTCACCAAATAGACTGAAATATGTCGTCGTTTTTACCTTCAGAACGACAGTTTTGTTCTGTCCTCCTTTTGCGCTATTTCGAGTGTGTTAAGTGATTGACCGAATAAATACAGCTAGCTAAAGAGGTCGAATTCACTGAAAACCGTTTGTTAAATGTCTCGAAACTTTTCTCCCGAAAAGGACGAACTCACAGAAGGACGCGTTATCCCACCCTCCCTAAAGTTCTCGGGAATCCTATAAGTGATGCCCAGTTAACCGCTGGTAGTTTTCTCGTCTTCCTGTCCAAAACGTTTATTAAATACTCCGCTTCCGCTTCCGACCACCCATGCATTGACCGGGACAGTTCTCGAAGCCATAGCATTTCCTCTGTGGGATGTGATTAATGTGATTCTGTGTTTACGTCAATCTCATAGCCCTGGACCCGATGGTGACCCAGCTAGCATTGTAAAGGCGGATGCAAATGTAAAAGTTCAAGGTCAGGTTACTGGATTCAAATTCGAATATAGGTAGAAAATATTGTTTTAAATGGTTTTTCTGAGTTAAAATAATATTTTGGCCCCTGTTTTTTGGTTAAATTTCCTTAAATACAGGCCTTTTTATTCAGAGCAGCCCGTTTCCATCTCCTCTTTGAGCTCTGCTGGCCAATGCTTGTTGATTACCAGTCGCACTCTGAAATTCGCCTTTTATGCATTCGATTTCTCTCTAAATGTGCAATTAATTTTTACATCGTTAGCCGCTAGGTGAAATTCGGTCGCCCGGTCTGTCAGAAGTTTTCTTAATTACGACCTGCCTCGAGACAATATGAGAGTAAAAGGCAGAGGTCGGCGAAATCTCTCGGCCTCTGTACGTAAGCATGGCTGGATCTGGTCTTTACGAAAACACCAGACAGCATAGACGAGATCGCCTTTATGCCGCCCCTTGGCCGAAGTGACCACGTAGTGCTTATGTGGGATTATTCGTTATTCTCCATTTCACACACTCCAGGCCACAAAAGGCGTAATGTTTGGCGGGGCGATTTCAATCAGATGAGGGCAGACTTATCCGGTCTTGACTGGGGCTCTTTGTTTACGGGAAGTGCCAACGATGACTGGGAGCTGTTCAAGAATGTCCTTCTGCAGCTCATCAACAACCACTGCCCACTGACTAGTGTAAGACTGAACAAACGCCCTGGGTGGCTAAATAGCAACCTCAAAAAAGAAATCAACAGGAAGCACAAATTGTGGGGAAAATACTGCGTCACTAGAAAAGCTGAATGCTTCAACACCTACAAGACACAGAGGAACAAACTGAGGAAGCTGATAATACAGACGCGGCGGGAATTCGAGAAGAACTTGCTACAAAAAGCAACGCAGAACCCAAAATTGCTCTACAGCTACCTCCGACGACCTACAAGGAACATGCATCAAATCCCCTTGATACAGCCTACTGATGGCGTTGAGATCGCTGATAGTAGGGATAAAGCTGCGTATTTTTCACGGTTTTTCCAATCAGTCTACACAAACGAGGCGAGGTTCCTTCCTCCCTCCACAGAAGAACTGCCGACTCCAAGCGTCAGTGATATACTCTTCTCAGAAGGCATTGTCCGAAGAGAATTAGAGGCATTGAACGAATCGAAGTCGCCAGAACCAGACGAGATTCCACCCAAGCTTCTGATGGAACTTGCCAGTGAGCTCTCTGTGCCTTTGTCGACGCTCTTTCAAACGTCATTTGACACTGGAACACTTCCTGGCGATTGGAGGCTGGCGCATATTACTCCGCTACACAAAGGAGGTAACAGGGCAGCGACGACAAATTACCGGCCCATAAGCTTGACATGCATTCTCTGCAAAGTGATGGAAAGGATCATAAAGTGTGAACTAATGCAATTCCTGGAAGTTCACGGCCTGCTATCGAAATGCCAACATGGGTTCCGAAAAGGAATATCCTGCACGACAAACCTGCTGCAATCTCTCCAGAGCTGGACCCAAGTTCTCGACGACAGGCACGCGGTCCACATAGCCTTCATCGACTTCCAGAAGGCTTTCGACACTGTGCCACACCAAAGGCTCTTACAGAAGCTGAAAAAAATAGGGATCGGTGGTAACTTCCATAAATGGATCGAAAACGTCCTTGTGGGTCGACAGCAGGTTGTGTGCGTCGGTCGGGGAAAATCAGATCCGGCTATGGTCGATAGTGGTGTCCCCCAGGGTTCAGTACTGGGACCCACTTTGTTCCTTATCTACGTGGACGATGCCGCAAGAGATTTAGACTGTGAAGTAGCAATGTTTGCGGATGACATGAAGATATGGAGTGTAATTCGGGGTCCTGCCGATGAAGACAGACTGCAGATGAACCTGAATCGGTTGGAGGAGTGGTCAAACCGTTGGCTCCTGCGGTTCAACGTTGCCAAATGTAGCATACTTCGCCTAGGCAACACAGCCAGATCCGCCAGCACAAGAGGCTACTTTCTGGGCGGTGCAGCCCTACAAGAGGTCGAAGCCCAAAAGGACCTCGGTGTGCTGACGACGAGTTCCCTAAAACCATCCGCCCACTGTTCGAGGGTGGCAAAAAGCGCAATGTCCGTACTGTACGCCATCAAGCGTGCGTTTATGGACTTTGACGAAGAAGCTTTCTCTAAGACATTCGGAACATTCGTCCGGCCGCATTTAGAGTACGGCATACAAGCTTGGAGGCCGTGGGCTGTTGTGGATCAAAACTGCCTCGAAAGAGTCCAGAGGAGAGCCACGAAGATGGTAAGGGGTCAAAGCTCCTTTCCTTATGCGACCCGCCTAGTAAATCTGAACCTCTTTCCTTTGAGTTACAGGCAAGTTCGCGGAGATCTCTTGCAAGCCTTCCGCATTGTAAAGGGGTTGGATTGCAGTCTGGCCTTCGAGGAATTTTTTGAATTTGCAACCAGGACCAAGCTCCGAGGTCACCCGTTAAAACTGCGCACTCAGCAGGCACGGCTGGATGTGCGGAAGTTCTCCTTCTTGGTTCGGGTAGTCAAACCATGGAATGAGCTTCCCGCAGATGTTGTGATGTCACCATCTATACAAAGTTTTAAGAAGAATCTGGCCATATTTATGTTCCGAAATGACCAAGAGCGATGAGAAGTCGAGCTCACCCCCTGTAACTCCTTCTCATTTTGTCCCACCATTATGGGCGTGTTCGAACTTTTTCAGCCCAGAACATCTATCTGTACACCACACATTTTTTACGTTGCAAATAGGGTACTCAAAGGCTTACGCCTATTTCCCTCAATAAACTGAACTGAACTGAACTGGATCTAAGTCAGAAGGCCTAGCTAATTTCTATTCAGACGGCTTACCTAAATCTAAGTTATAAGGTATTACTATTCAGTGATCACCCGTTGTAACCGATAGGTAGTTTAATCTGTCTGTACTTTACAAGTGCAATCATTTTATACTAAGGTTTGCTACTCTGCTCTCAATTCTTGGAAAATTATTCGACGAAAAAATTTCCGATATTCCTTCTCAAGTATGTAGGCGTCTTAACTCACTTATTCACCTGATCGCCAGTGAATTTAGTGAAAGACAAAAGCGTGCTTACAAATTCTAGTTGAAAAATGTTCCTCGATCTGCTCGGCCAATTGATGTTGCGATAAATTTCCTTTATTTATGAAGATGTAACTGCAAACTAGTCGATGGAAAGAGCTTATCCTTCCGTAGCAAATATCCGCCCGTCTTAGTTAAATAATTTTCAAAAATCGACATCAACACGATGTTTGCCCTTCGGGGTCGTTTCTCTGCGTACCTCAAAATTGCGAAAATGTCACGACCATACCCCCATTTTGTGGGTTAGAAGACTCGAAGCTGGCCTTTGCATAATTTTTCGAATCAACTCTAGATCCAGTTTTCCGCTCATTGACAATATCACTCCGAGAGATCGGTTTTATGCCACGCGCAACTCCTCCATGCTGATTACGCCGCCGACTCTTTGCACTGCATCTAAGCGCTACCTCTTCTTTGCTTCCAAATATGCCTTCCTGTGGGATAATCTTTCGCCAGAAATTAAGTCATCGCCTATGTTACTGGTATTCAAATCGAAATTACGCAAACCCCTTACTCCGAAATGTATAAAGGTACTTTTGACGGTGTCATTCGCGAACAGTCAGATTCTTGAATTTGAAAAGGGTCCTCCTGGGATTTAATGGTAGATCAAGTAGAAACTCTCATTTATATCTTTAAAACCCCTTGCTTTGAATTGGTTACTGAAGTCCACTACTATCACTCCTACCCCATGGGGACGATTTTTGCGGTTTGTGATATCATCTCCCTCATTTCGACCTCATGTGGTCCTTCGACGCTCACGGTGGAACCCTCAGTATTTGCCATCTACTAGTAGTTTGGTCGTACCTCCCTTGCCCCTTTCTCGACTGGACTCGAAACGTATTGTTTCCGATCGCGTCTGTGTTACTCTCGTCTGGCCACCTTGACGCGAATGGTCTCATCCGGTGTATGAATTCTGCCCTGATGATGTCTGTTTTATAGCCCTTATGCAATAATACATGCAGGCCAGTCCTGTCTGACCCGCATATGTACTCCTCAAGTCTGACAATTATTTCTGCCCTGACGATGTCCGATTATAATCTGTTATACACAGCTACATGCAGGTCAGTCCAGCCCGCGCTTTTGTCTTATTATGAGCGACAGTTCTTTTCTCCTGTATGGCTAGTTGAGTCATTTTTAAATTCGTAAGTACAGTTTTTTCAATACTCGCTCATTACTTCAGAGGAGTCCGTTGGCGAAGGTATAACAAATCTCAGAGAAGGCAGTAAACCGCAAAATAGAATAAAGTTACCCATCTTTTGGGTCCGAGTTGTATTCATCTTTTGAATGGCGTCGTTCTGACGGCTTTCATCAGTCTTGACGCCAGGTCTTTTGAGATATGTTTCGGTTATATATATAAGGTCAAGGCGTGCAGCTCCATTTCAAAGATAAGTGAAGCTTTGCATTTACTTGGATATTCTTAAACAACTAATGCCTGTTTTTTACTTGAGTCACTTTAAAAAGTCGCCTTTCAATATAAGGTATAATTTTTTCCAGTTTTGCTTGACAGTCTGGCAAAATAGTCGTATTTTGTAAAAAAAAACCTTTGTAGTGACTCGATTATTCCTAATTTTCATAGAAAAATAACAGCAGTACTTGCTATTCAGTGCGTTTTTCTGTACGTTAGTAACGTTTCGCTCCTTTTACTGTAACGAAAAACATATCTCGTCTGTAATGCCCCACAGAGCACGTGCTAAAGGACGAAAGCTTGCTGACTTCCCACTGTCTCCGGGTGCTAGAATCGCCACCGAAGACATAGCAGTTGCCAGACTATGTTCTTCGCCTTCTGCAGATAAGGTTAACTCACAAATAACTTTAGTACATGTAGAACATCTTCACCCTTCAATCGTCCAGACATACGCCTCCGCTAGTCGTAGCAGGCCATCAGCCGACGAAATACTTGATCAGTTGATATATGGCGACATAAGTATTACTTCTGAAAAAGTAATTGATCAAGCTCTTAAACTTATTGAGGTAATAAGTTCTGAACCTGAGGAGAGAATTAAACGCCAGCATAATTTTGTACTGCGAAACATTCCGAGCCACTAATCTGGTATGGAGGGAGCGCATTAGTTCCTACAAAGTTGTGGCTTGAGTTTCAGTGTCGCACAAGCTAAACGACTGCACTCGCTTAACCGTAATGCGCCTATACTAGTTACCCTTTTCTCCATGATAGAAGTCAATTTTATCTTGTCAAGGAGAGACATAACTAGAGAATTCTGCCGTAAATGGTGCTGTTCCGTTTCGCCAGACCTCACACCGCCGCAGCGAAGACTGAATAAATTGAAATCAAAAAAAAAAACCAAAAGCAGGAAAATGACACCTACTGTCAGTTCTAATAAGTCCTTTACAACACTATCTGCGGCCTCTGTATGTCACGATATAGACAATACCGTAGGGAATTCGACTACTATTGATGCTGAGATCTTTAGAAGCAACAACACGCCTGGTATACAAACGCCCCTAACGACCCGCCCAGCAACCCCTAGTAAGCTTAAGCATGTGCCTGAGTCAAGGGCAAATCCAATTGCTGTCCCAGCCACTCGGACACCAGATAAATCCAGCACCGTTATAAAATCTTTTCCTCCACAATCGGCTAACAGTGCATCAAATGCCACGATTCAAACCGTAGCGTGTCCCCAAATGCTCCCCAGCACTCATATCGAGGCAGTTAGACCGAATATGCCCATTTGCCCGCCGTTTAATAGAACTCTTGTTCCAATGGAAGCAATGCGTACCCCACCCCCTAACTTGTTTCCACCACGGCCGTTTTACCAATGAATTCCGCATGCTGGTGTCCATACTGGATCAGTTAACTGATCCGATCATCAGTTTCGTTCCGGCGGGAATGCGTTGCAGTATCTGGCCCACTGATTTCCAGCTGAAAATGAGTTAACTATTAATGGTTACCAGTCTACCTGCCCGTCATTCCCTCCCCCAAATCCTACCCCCTTTTTATCCACGTCAGAATTTGTTGATGCCACAAATTTTTTTGAAGAACCGGATGATTACATCCGGACCGTTTGCTCTTTGGGCATACCAGCACTGGACGATGTAGCCCAACTCCCTGAGAAAAGAAACAGCCTTTCACTTCAATCTTTTTGTTTTAAATGCCAGATCATTGCTTAATAAGATGCCTTTGGTTCAGATTTTGGTGTTCGTCCATTGTCCGGATATTGTCTTTGTAACTGAGGCATGGGCATCAGCCTCCGTAGCTGACTCCGAACTCTCTCTTCTAGGCTATAATTGCATTCCAAATTATCGCCAAGATAGCCGTGGTGGGGGCAGTTGCGTCTACGTTAAGCAAATGCTTACATTTTTGCCGCTTGACCTCCCGCACTTTCCGCTGTAGAAGGCCGCAGCTGGCTCCAGGTTACTTTAAAAAAATAAGTTCTCCTTACTCTTTGGTTGCGTCTATCGCCCTCACAACGCCAACGACAATTGTGATCGTTTACTCTCACAGGCATTTCATGCTGCGGCCGACTCAAGCTTTAAATATCAATTGGTTGCGGGTGACTTTAATCTCCCTGAAGTCCGCCGGTCTCCGCCTTCAGGCCCCAGGAGGTTCGATGACTTTCTTGAGGCTGTGGATGTTGGAATGTGGACTCAGGTTGTCGATTTTCCCACCCCAGGATCAAGCATACTTGACCATATTTTCTGTAGAGGCTGCATGCCATCGCCAGTGCCATCTCTTGGCCCACTCGGGGGCTCAGACCATGACATAGTTGTTTCAACGTTGGAATTCGAGGCTGACAAAACGTTGTCCCCAAAGTATAACTTTTTCCACGATTTCCGATCAACTCGCTCAACCGAATTATTAGCACACATTAATTCGTACCACTGGAATGATTTCTTTCTTAGTTCGGATGTAAATGTTTGCACCGCAAATTTTGACGAAATTTTGAATCCGCCTAATTCTCGACTTGTCCCCTGTAAGAAAATTATTAATGCTGGGAATGAGGTTTTCCTACCCTTACCCTTTCATCGCAGATTTCGCAGACTTTATCGTCGATTCCATCCTTAGAACGACGTTTTGTCCTGCCCTGGATTTGTGATATTTTTGATCGAGCTACGAGATTATCTGAAAAAAACAGCTAGCCGAAGAGGTCCAGTTTACCGAAAACCATTCGTTAAATGTCTCGAAACTTTTCTCTAGAAAAATACGAACTCATCGAAAGACGCAACATCCCATCCCCCGAGACGCTCTCGGAAGTCCCATGGTTGATGCCCAGTTAACCGCTGATAGCTTCAATGATTTCCTTTCCAAAACGTCCATTGAAGACTCGACCACTCCGCTTCCGATCATCCAGGCACTGACTGGGGCAGTCCTAGTAACTATAACTTTCACACTTTGGGATGTGAATGTTGCGATTCGGCGTTTTCGTCAATCTTCTAGTCCAGGCCCTGATGGTGTCCCAGTAAGCATTTTAAAAGCCGATGCAAACACGATCTTCCCATCCCTCTTATGCAAGATATTTAATCTTGCTCTTGAAACTGAAACTTATCCTACATTGTGGAAGGAATCACACATTTTGACCATTCCTACGCACGGCAAATCCACGTCATTTGATGACTTTCGGCCAATAAACACACTCCCCGCAGTTTCGAAGATCTTAGAGACATTGAACAAGGATAAGATGATGCGTCACTTAACAGTGAATAACCTACTGAGTGCTGCTTAGCATGGATTCCTCAAAGCTCGATCTTGTTAAACCTGTCAACTCTCTTTCTTTGACTATGTTCTCCAATCTAGGGACAATGGTTTTGCACTTTACACTGTATATTTCGATTTCACTAAGGTCTTTGATCGTGTTGACCATGCTCTTCCTCTCTTGAAACTGTCCTCTTTCGAAATAGGTGGCAAACTTTTGAATTTTATATCCTCTTATTTGGGCACTCGCACACAACGAGTTAAGATCTCCAATACCATCTCCAACCCCACACGTGTGAGGAGTGGAGTCATTCAGGGTAGTGTACTCGGCCCACTTTTATTTTGCCTTTTCGTTAGTGATGTACCCGATTCATTCCAGAAGGGTAAGCCTTTCATGTATGCCGATGATCCTAAAGTTGCATATCGATATAAGCCGGCAGATCATGACATCGTGCTTGAGCTCCTAAAGAGCGATCTACAGGCTTTCGCCCAGTGGTGCCGCACATGGCGCCTTTCACTTTCCTGGCATAGTGCTCAGTCATGGTGGTTGGCAACGACCGCCAACCTCAAATAAATATTGAAGGTCACGCCATAAATGTGCCAGGGGTTATAAAGGATTTGGGCGCATCATACTCCAAGAGTCTCAATCTCTCGGAGCACTGTGCCTTGATGGTCTCCAAAGCACGTAGAACGACGGGGTTTATCCTCCGAAATTTTAAAAATAGGGTCTTTAGAATGCGCCATTTCAACAATTACGTTAGACCTGGTCTGGAATACGGTTAGTTTTTACTTAGCCTCATGCGTGCTACTGAGCGGAAGAAAATAGAATCCGTTCAACACTTTTTTACCAAGAGAATTTTAACCCCGGAACACCGACATTTGTCTTACCAAGAAACTTTATGTTTTCGTAGATTACAAAGGGACTATTTTGCTATTTAAACTCTTATATAATCACACATTTAACCCACTCACCTCTTTAAGACACCATGTTCACCCACGACGTAACAATCTTCGTGAAGTCTTTTTGTTTCTTCCTCTGACACGTACTGTTAAATATCGTCAGTTCTTTTTTGTAAATGCTATTGGTATTTGAAATAAACTACCCATGAATGTAAAAAATCTGCATATATATCCTTTTCGTTAAGAGAATTATTACTGGACTTTTGCATTCTGAAATGCTCCCACAAATTTTGGATGCTGAATTCGCTGATCGACTGTACCGTAGCGATGGCGTTTTTGGTCTCTGAACACTATGGCCTGTCTCGCCATGGACAATTTTGTTGGCCAACAACGAGAGCTGTTCCTCAACGCCTCTACTTTGATTATCCGAAACTTCTTGAAAGGAATTGACGTCCGATAATCTCCGATACCGTGCCACCCCCTCCTCACTTTTCCTGACGGTTGAGTGTATACCACCAGCAGTTCGTTCTCCTGAACCCTCCAAACCATAAAAACCACCATCATCTATATTTCTATTTCTTTACCCCAGGAGTTTTTTCACTGCTGGTCGGATTTGTGTTTAACTCTTCCCTTGACAATGCCTGTGAACTGGCATTAAATAAAATTATCATTACAAAATCGACGATCTGAACTGTCTGCGCCTTCTGATAATTCCAAGGGTGCAATCGTTTCATTTCTCGGCATCCGTATGGGACTGTTTTAGATGTATTTTAATGTAAAAGTGTGTGTAGAGTCCTGAATAACTGTTCATATTTCTTTATAATTTTCAGCAAATGCAAGATACCTGAGGGATATAGTTTATCAAAAATAGTTTGACGGCATTCTGCTATAGGAATATATTTGGCTGCAGTCGTCTTGTTACAAAGACCTAAGAGACTATGTTAAATAGGACATCTGCTTTAATATTTGATGATAACTGATGATATATTTCTCAAAATTGCCATATAATATCCTATTTTAATTGATCTGGCTTCTTAAAATTTCGGTCGATTATGCATATTCTGGTCTGTTTTTCATCTCTCTTCATTTTATAAACTTTATTTTTTCGCGCAGTCTGGAAAGTTTTTTTTAAGACCAACGGAGTTGCCTTTTGTGCAGTCTTTTATAAATGCTGCTGTCGTACTTTTGCATCCATAAACCCACATAAAGACGATTAACGACAACATTCCAGGAACTTAAAAAACTAAAAACGGTTACCTCTCTATCCTCGTAAAGATTTACAGATATATCGTCTTCCTCAGCATTTTGTTTGGAAGAGTTTTATCTGCGGCCATCGTTTGGCCATTCTTATAAGTACGTTGAGTGTTTTAACACATTAAAGTTTCGACCTACTGGTTATTGCGCGTCTATTGACTTTACATTGATTTCATGTGCTGCGTCCTTTAGTGTGAGTTGAGTCGGCCGATTGAACTAGTTTCCACTCCCTTATGTTGAATTTTTGTCCTTATAGACTTTTCTTATTTACTTCTTTCCATACATTTTGCTATATACTCGTATCAGCGATCCCCTAAACAGGTATTTGTAGATTAATCGACAAGTAGATATCCTAGATATCTTTTTCTTCGGGTCACAAATTATATTATTTTAGCAATAACTGGAGGCTTTTATGACTCTACAGGCAAAAATAAGTCAACATTGAGTTTTTCTTGCTTCGCCGACCTCGATCATTTCTCCTCCAGGAGAAGGCCTCTTTTAACTGCAATCGCTTCACTTTTTGCGACGACTTTCGACAACCATCAGTCCGGCGGCCAGTTATGTCTGGTTTATGACGTTTTTTTCTAAATTTTGACAGTGCATCTCTACTTCGCGTCATGACGGTACTAAGTGTAGACCCGCCAGTTTAGGTCCACGGAATTGCCCAAGATGCATTGTGAAACTACACACAGTCTGCATGTTTTTACCGTTTAACCGTTTACCGTTTTACCGTTTTTACCGTTAAATAGTTCAGCTCACCCCAAGAAGGTCATGTTTTCCGACGGAAGAAAAAAGATTCTATCAGAGTTAATCAAAAATAACCTCTTGGTCAATTGGTGCATTCGAGCAAACGTGGACTGTCGTTCTGTCCAGGTCATATTTTTACGGAAAGACAAGCAAACACCTTTGAACTCTCTGTTGGTTGCAACAGTCTTAAAAAGCATCTAAAGTATCGGTACTTGGACATTTTGTGACCATTAAAAAATTAATGATCGTTCGCCTATCCGGCTGTTTATCAAATTGAACTGAATTGGTCGCCACTCTGGGAACAGCGCAGTAGACTTTTTAAAGCTGGATAAGATGTCGAACATTTTATAGTTTGCGATTTTTTAACCCGTTTCCCACGCGAACTTCGGGGAAGAGTCTGTATTAAATAACTTGTGGCATTGGCATCCGTCACCTTTAAGCACTTTTTATCTCCGCTTATTACAGTTTAACCGCTGACTGCAGCAGTATGTTGTTTGAAATGAGATTCCGAATTTAATATCTTCCGCTTTGTGCGGAAAGTAGCCAAGCGTCCATTAGGTTTTCTCCTTCTCTGTACATTGTTATCTATTTACGACCTTTTAGTTCCTCTGTAGAAACGAAGAGACCACAACTTGTGACCTCCCTCAAAGGCTGCCACACGACAGCATCCACTCGTTCGATTTTTGCAGGGGTTTGATCAAACTGATAATGCATCTGCTAATAGAAAAGTGGATATTAAGATTACTAATTAGGTCTTTTATAATTCGTTAGAAGACGTGTTTTACCACTATGTCGTTGTCTAGTTAGTGGATTAAGACTTCAGCGGATTATGAGTAAATCTCCGAATGGTTCATAAATCTCCCTAGTCCTGCCAAAGTTTGTGTTTTTAGATCCATGAATTGCAATTGGATCTCAGTCAACAGCTGCGCAATGAACACATGACATCACAAGTGTATCGTTTTGCAATTGCTAATCATCCCTTTTTGTATCCGTACATAAAAGCCTGTTAAAACATAAGCACGTTTGACATTTCCACCTAACATATTGATAAAAAGTACGCCAGCCACAAATAAAAGTACTTCAGGTATTTACATCTCTCTCAACACAATATCGTGCGGAAAGACACTAAACAATTATGTTTTTAGTGAAACTGAACGACGTATATAGTGCCTTATTCTAAAATAAACAGATAGAATCTAAAGGAAGTATACGGTGACTTGAGAGAACCAAGTAGTCAGACTAATATTTGTATGATCGTTTTGCTAAATGTTTTTACTGGCAATATATTTTGATTTTTCTCAAATTAAAGGTGTTACATCCAAAATGGGAGAAGAATCGTAAATTCTACTGGTTAAATCGATTTTCTTCAGCATCAAAGTTGCCGTTCGTGTAAGACCATTCAATCAGAGGGAGACTGATCGAAAAGCAGAGCTTGTGATTTCTATGAACAAAAACGTTACGGAGATAGTCAATCCCGAAAGTAAGTAGTCCTTTGCTGTTATGGTTGCATCTTAATTTTTGATGGATTAACACATTACCTTCGAACCTACACAGAATGGGCGTAATGAGGAGGTTATGTAGAAGGCTTTAGTGTAGCTGACCTAAATAACTTCTCGGCCAATTGGTTGGAATTTTATTTATCAGTAATGAATAGGAAACGGGGTCAGTGATAATAGTTCTAAATTTTGGAATAAACATTTTAGTACCCGAAGCCCCAGTTTTAGTCAGCTCCTCAAAATACCGTTGTGCATTGTACAGAAATTAAAAATTTTCCCATTATGTTATTTTTTCTCCATCCTTATTTTAGGACACAATGATGTGAAGCGCTTCACTTTTGACTACTCATATTGGTAGGAACTACGTTTCGAAGTGGAATATGACTTTCTCTCAGGTCACATGACGGATTCGCTGTCACTGACAACGGCACCTTTGTGCCTTCCGGTCCTGACTCACGCTATGCCAGCCAGCAAACAGTCTTTAATGATCTTGGCACAGGCATCCTTCAGAATGCTTTTGACGGCTACAACTGTTCCCTTTTTGCCTACGGTCAAACGGGCTCTGGCAAATCGTACTCGGTTGTGGGTTACGGCGTGAATAGGTAATTTTCGACACACACAGCCTGCAATATTTCACTCAGAGGTATCATCCCCATTGCCTGTGCACAGCTCTTTCAAAGAATAGACGAAAATAAGGATCCCTCAAAGGCAAGTCTCCTTGATTGATTTTTGCCATTGGCGAGACTCGTGCCCATCTTCTGTCTGTAGGCTTTTCAAGTCAGCATTTCAATCATGGAGATTTACAGTGAAAAGGTGCATGATCTGCTTAGCATAAAAGGCAAAGATCAGTCTGGCTTGCCCGTGCGACAGTGTGCCTCTGGAGGATTCTTTGTTCAAAACCTCAAAAAGGTGCCTGTTGGTTCCTATGGGGAGATTGAACAGCGCATGGCCCAAGGTGAGTCCTAGAGCTGTATTTGCGCTTAAGGCAGTTAAGGCAATCCTATTAGATCAAAGAGGATTGTGATCAAATTTCAGGGTAGGCTAATCGGCGATATCAAGATCGGAATTAGACTTTTGCATAACCGGTCATCCGGGTTTTGGTATTTACTTCACGATATTTTTCCTTGAGGTAGCTCGTTTGCTGCTGCAGAATTGTTTATGCTAAGTTGAACCAGAGGTAAAATTCGCGGAATTAGCTAATGTGGGCGAACAAAATTCTTTACTGTCGAGAATTCTGGAGAAACTGATTCCCCATGAAATATACTACCTTCAATAAGTAGCAGCATATTAGTTAAATTCCTTCGCCAGTCGAAGCGAAACTAAGTTTCCAGCAGGCCATTGTCCGTTTATATGAGGCTGTTCGACAGACTGACCAATACATACTTCAATACTTTTATAACGAACAAACGATGTATACCCCCCTCGATGGAGCGTTTTCTTTAAACTTCCACACATCGTAACTTTTGGCTATTATAGCTGAGTAGCGATAAGTTAATTTGGTCGGAATAATACGATTATCTCCTTTGACAACACTTAGTATCGATGATTTACAGGAAGTTGCTTAAAGTTATATATCTTAAACAATAAAATCTGGTGAAACTTCTAGTTGTACATCTCAAACGTTGTCGTCGTTTTGGCCTCATAATTTGACCGGAATTGTCTGTTTCCTTTCAGCTGTTAGTAATATTCAAAATCTCAGTAGGTTTGTTTTTGCTTCAGGCATTGCAAATCGGACTATTGCCGCGACAAATATGAACGCTTCCAGCTCAAGGGCGCATACTCTGGTGTGCATTACGTTTGACCAGATCATCACAAAATCCATTAGTGGGCAGTCTACATCCTCACGTTTGAGCTCAATCATCAACTTTGTCGATTTGGCAGGTACGCATACGCATATGTTTTCTTACAAAGCCCTGGTCCATTATGCGTGGACAGGAGATGTGGCGGTACGCCTACGCGCGGATTCACGCCGTGCTAGCTGTCTAAGCCTGATCCGACCATCGATTTTTTGACCATTTTCTTGACCCCGAGACCAGGTGGGGATAGGGAGAGAGTGCGGTAGACGTATTGCAAGTCTACGTGGTCTTGATAATTTTTCCTTCTTCTTCTTCCCAAAAGGGTCTTAAGTTTTCTTCCTGTCTTCGAAAAAATTTGCACTTAGTTCGTGTGGAATTTCCCCATCGATTTTCAATGCCCTCATAACGTCCAATGTATTTTAGAGAAAAATGCACAAAGTATGCCTTCCCCAACACTTTTTGTAGCCAATCACGTCTTCTTCAAATTTTAAACCCAAATAAGGCATATCATTCGATTTAAAAAACTTTTATTCCTGAATACGTTTGAGACGGACTTACCGTTACACTTGCATTTGAGTTTTCGGACCTAAAACCTGTATATTTTTCGTGTAAGAAAAACCATACAGTTACATACACCATTCGGAAGACGTCATGTTTGACTTATAAAAATATACATTGGAGGTAGACCACGTTGTTGCTTCATAAGAAGCTTTTGTAAATGGACAGGTACGATATTGTAGGAATTGGCATTTCACGGCCATGAAAGATCTGCAAGGACCCGCAAGTGGATGCCAAGATAAAACCCCAAATGACACGATCCGGCAGTTAAGTGGGGTTCTTAACCCTACCGTTGCCTACGGAAATTCTTTGAACAAAAATTTAAAATAGAGGTAATTTTTCACCACATAGGCGCAAGAAGGCATATTTTGTCTTTGTGTTCTGAAAGATGCATTTGAAATCATGTGGGCATCCAAATTCAGTTGGAGGTATTCATACTACTCAGATGGTTATTTTTGAAGAGTGTAGTACTTGCAGGATGCAGAAATAAGCTCGTTCTGAATCCTACATCCTAACGTGACTGAGATACACTAGCACTTAACTGCACGACTTTTAATATTACAATCCTACTTGAGCAACCTCTTCTAATCGTAAGCATGTTTCAGAACCTTGGCCAATATTTCATGTGATAGAGATATAGTTTAATATCTTATAACATGCTTTGTTGAGAATTACGGCACAATGAGCTGACGAGGTGTTTCTCGTGATGGCGAATTAGTATCCGTTGCATGAAAGCGCTGGCCTTACATCGAGCACGGGGCGAATCTTGACTTTCGTACCGTCAAGTACGCCGACTTAGCTGGAACTAAGACAGACGCAAGGGGGACAGAGGCCACGTGAGCCCACCAATGGTCGACTTCTGAGAGGCCGAACCCAGCCAACAGCAAACGGGCAGGTCAAATTACCTGCGTCGAACACTAGAAAAACGGTAAACTCGAATCAGTCAAAGTCAGTGGGAACAGCTGGCGCACCAATCTGATGATGGGAACAGCGGAGTTTCCGAAACGCCAGTAAGAATGCAATTTTATCCATGGGGTCACCCTTTCTTCTTCGGAGGATGATGAGAACGGTATATATCAACCGTTGTATGACGTTGCCTGCAGCCCATCAACCCCTGTGGCCGCAGCTCAGTGAACAAGAGAGCAAACACGAACCTAGGCAAAACATGAACTAAAACAAGACGAATCCATGACGGACATGCATGCAGCCTCGACAGAATTCAGATCCGATGAGGGTGCAGTTATCACTACGACCGGCAGAGGAGAAGACGGACAATCGTAAATATGCTAATCGAAGGCCATGCGCACCCTTGATACCGGGTATCCCTTCGTCGGGGGTAAAACTTGCATCGTCGGAGTCTGCCCCTTCAAAAAAGGCCGAGAGTTTCTTGAAACCATGCACTCCGATCAGTCATGCATCAATCGACACAATCAGCAGGATGCTGTGCGCGAAAATCTCAGGGAAAAATGGAAGAGACAAGAACCAATAAATACAAAATGACGCGCACGAGGGCGCTTACTGGCGCAAACACTTAAAGAGTATCGATTTTTAAGCAAGTTTGAAATCTTAACCGCTTTTTGCACATTTGCCCAGGTCTGAAGAAGACCTGGGAAACCACCTTAGAACATTTAGAAAATTTTGTGCTTTTCCTAAAGAACGCATTTGCCTTCAGAGTTCATATATATTTATACATAACACGAAAAACGCGTCTGGGCTTTTGGCTCGAATCTATGTCAGGATTTCGGTATAGTACCTTTACTATATAGGGTACTAGTAGTACCACTTGTTTGTAAAGTGAGGATTGCGTGGTTGTTCCACAGTAGTTGATTGTCTTTGACTTGAATTTTCATTTAAATTTTGAGTCTGACCCCAAAAAGTCGTGTTGGAAATACTTGACTATATTTCCTGCAATTAATATTTTCCAAAATTATATGTATATCAGGGATGGGAGCACGCTGATCTATTGGCTTTATGAAGTAAACAAGCCCGGTATGGATGGCAATGGTCATGAACAGGCAACCAGTTACCAGGCCGGAGTCGGCCAAATCATAATAGTATAACTATTAATATAAAACTGTTTCGGGTGTGTTTGCCTTCTTTCCACAAACCATAAGCCTGACTAACTGCTCTGAGCAACAACACAAACATGCGTTCACAGACCTGGCACAGCTGTTTCACCACTGGGGCCTACCTGAGTGGACAGTGAAGTCCGCTGAAGAGTTTTTGACCCGCATCCGACATCGCAAACTGTAGGCAGAAGGGGTGATGGTATCTTTTAACGTGGTCTGACTGTCCACTTCTATCATACCCGGCCTGGCCATCGACACTCTCATCGGTCTTCTTCGAAAAAGATACGATGAGATCGACCAAGGGCTCACGCGAGTGCGCATCATCGAGCTCCTTTAATTGTGTTTTAAGACCTTCTTCACATTTAATGTCCAGGTGTACGAGCAAAAGAAGGCGACGCTGATGGACTCACGTCCGTCTGGACTAATTGCCGAAGCAGTTTTACTGAGGCCTGAACGGCTGATATTCAGCTCGTATCTCCCGAGGTTCAGGGTCAGATATATTGACGACACATTCATCATTTTAAAAAGGATCGCCGTTTAAGCTTTCAAGGTCCCGCTCAATTCAATCTTTCCTGCTATACAGTTTACCATGGAGGAAAAGACCAGCAGCTAATTGCCTTACCCCGACTTTCAAGTTACAAAGCTGGCTGACGGGAATATAAAGACGACGGTCTACCGTAAGGTGACTAACACTCTGCGCATCTTCTACTTCAGAAGCAACCACCCGGTCGGTTACAAAGGTAGTTGTGTCAGGACCCTTTTCCAACGCGCCCAAAGGCACTGTAGCAAAGACGATGACATGAAGAAGCAGGTAAAGTGCTTACGTGCCGTATTTGATGTCAACGGTTACCCGAAGTCGTTCATAAGAAAGTGCCTCAGGAGGTCCTACTCCGGGCAGTCGAGCGAGGAAAAACCAAAGTTCTGCCTCTAGATCCCGTATGTGAGGAACGTTTCAGAGGCGGCGTCGGGAATCCTGAAACCTTTTGTGATTGGTGTGACTCATAAACGAGCGTCAGCAATCAGATAGAAGAGCATGAGGCCAAAAGGCTCGCTGCCAGTTAAAGAACAGTCAGCGGACATCTACGGCAAACCATGCCAAGCTTGTGATGCGAGGTATGTTGATGAAACGGGCAAACACCTCGGCACAAGAATGCACGAACACCAGCTTTCAATCAACCGCAAGGATACGCCGTCTTTGGTCTGTGGCCACATACTACAACAGAACCAGAGTTTCACCTTTGGGAAAACGAGGGTGATCAGCCGAGCCAATGATAAGATGGCCAGACTTATGCTGGAAAGCTGATCTCCGACTGGCACGCCTAACCAAGGCATGAGCCTACATCCCGCCTATCAGGCGCCCCGCACAAGGCTTGAGTCAACCTAGACAGGGCCAATGGAACGGATGGAAAGTCACACGGGATCGACTGCCGACGCTCGCGGAGAGAGCGGAAGGTGCTGACGGAACGTCACGTGACCGGCGTGGCACACTATCTTGCGCACGTACCCGCGAGGCCAAATCCACCACGCCGTCTGACGAGGGGAGGCTGACGAGCACGCCAGATTAACGGCAACCACGACGACCGCGAAGGGGACGGAGGCCACGTAAGTCCACCAATGCTCAAAATTAGATAGGTTACCACCAGCCGAAAACAAACAGGCTACCCACCGTACGTCGATTGAGAACGATTATGATGCGAGGCAGGCGGCAAGGCTGAACAAATCATAGCCAGCAAGAAACGCCAGCGAACGACTCTGATGATGGAAACGAAAGAGTTTCTGAGGCGTCAGTGTGAATACAACTTGGTCCATGAAATCGCCTTCTTTCCGTCTTCTTCGGGGGATGATAAACAATATATATGTATATATGCATACATTAGTGTGGCTCATAATCTTGATTGCACAGTCAGGCAGCAAATCATGAAGGCCAAAGAACTGCTACCAGTAACAGAACAATCGGTAGTGGTCTGCAGCTTTCCATTACAATATTGTGATACGAGGTATACTGATGAAACGAGCAAACGCCTCGGCACAAGAATGCACGAACACCAGCTTGCAATCAACCGCAAGGATAGGCCGTCTTTGGTCTGTGGTCACGCACAACTGTTGAATCACGGGTTCGTCTTTGAGTGGTCAAAGGTGGCCTACCGAGCTAATGAGAAGGCGGCCAGAGTGGTGCTCGAAAGTTGGTCCTCGACTGGCACAATCAACCGTGCTACGAGCTGCAATCCCGACCACAGGCGTTATGTACGAGGTTCGGAGCAGTTCAAAGAAGGGCAATGGGACAAGCGATTACAGCAGCTGAGAGCCGACGCTCAAGGAAAAGAGGGGAAGCGACGGCCAGAGGTCACGTGCCCCAAGCCGAGCATTGTCTCACCTATGCACCCGCGAGGCTCAAAGCAACACACACGAACAGCAAAAACTAACCAATCGGCCGAGTGACGTGGGGGATGCCAGCAGGCACGCTAAATTGGCCACAGCTAAGTCCGCCCGCCAGCTGTCAGTTTCGGGGAGGTCTGGGATATTCAGCGGCGAACGGGCAGGTCAAAGTTCGTGCATCAAGCAGGCGGCAAAACTGAACAACTCAAGACGGGCAGGAGCAACAAGCGCACTACCCTAAAGATGGAAGTTTCCGCGACGTCATTACAAATACAACTTTCGCCAGGGGCTCGCCCTCTCATCTTCTTTCTCCACTCAGGAAAATAATGAACGCGAAATATACATGTATACGTATATGTATAGGCAGTATGATATTACCGACAAAGAAAATGGAGACTGGAATGGCCGTTTCTGGCACATTAGCTGTCGTCAGCCAGTCTTACCCAACCCCGAGCTATGGAACACCTAGGACTCGAACTCACGACCTGTTAGTTACAAGTTCACGCTTCTTGCTACTGGACCACGGGTCCGTTGCCCTGTTGATTTCGATCAGGAATATGCAGTGGTATAGGGGGCGCTCACTGATCGTTCTGCATTCTGCCATATCATGCATCGCTTTGCGGCTGCTGGTTGGGCTCAAAAGATAGCCCATAGGGCACAAGGGAACTAGTGATTTCTGTAAGAACGACCGGTAAGCGTCCCTCTATCATATGTACCAAATGAGTATTAATTTTGTAGCACGTTTGAAATTTTTATTGTTTTCTGCACATTTACTCGAGTCTGACGACGACAATTTTCTCAAAACAGTTTTCTCCTTTTCCAAAAGAACGTATTTGCTTTCAAACATATATATATATATCAAGCCAATAATTTCAGAAATTATTAAGTGCAAGACATTAAGTTAAGTATGCGGGACATGACGTTTTCGGGTCAACCCCGACATTTCAATGGATACCTGAGTCGGCGACGATCGACTACCTTAGAATAACCTTGTAATGCCTAGTATACGAACTAGTAGTAGTAACATGAATTTTATGTGACAAATGTGTTACATCGTAATTCCTACATAGGTACTAGCCAAAAGCCCAGACACGTGTTTGGCTGATGTTTCTGCTGCTGCATAGATGACGATGTGGGGCCTACCAAGGAGCCGAACCCCTCGCCGCGCGTCACGCAGTAGAAGAAAAATCGGTGAAATACGTGTCATGTCATTTAGTCAGTGCCTATGTCCGGAGTATGGTATACCACCTCTGCCGCATGAATATATAGGTAAGGTTTGCCCACGACGGATAATCAGCCGGGAATTGCGGTCGCAGTCTCGACTTTGTCGGCATTCCACTCCTGCATCATGACTGATTGCTAATTGATTGCCGGCGGCTGATAGTCCACAAGTCGGAAACGATCGTCCCAGTCTTTCTTCAATCCGCCTGTGCTACGTATAGTTCCGTGACTGTCTGTGAGGCTCGTAATCAAACTCCAACTCACGACTGGGCGAGCATGCTACGTAAGCCGATCAGTGAACGCATTGCAAGCAGAGTTAATATTCACGATCGCAACCGATAGGACGACGGGCCCTGGCTCATTGAGCAATGAACGCGGATTCGCATCTGATGTTACCCAGATTTTGAGTCGGTTGATGACCACACTTCTATGCATATACATACTGTCCGGATCAGTCCGTACAGGACCAGTGAGGCAAGCGAGCACGCGGGACAGAGAGTCAACGCTCACGGAAAAGAGTGGAGTTGGGGGCCAGAGGTCATGTGACCAAAGCCGAACAATGTCTCACCTATGCATGCGCGAAGTTGAATGCTGCTCACCTGAACAGCAACAACCGATCAGTCCACCGGCTGACGTGGGAGAGGCCAAGCGGCACGTTGATTTGACTACAATTACGCCGACCCCAAAGGGAACAAAGGTTACGCAGGTCTGTCAACTGTCAGCCCCGGGGCGGTCTAAGCTAGTCAGCGGCAAACAGGCAAGTCAAGATTCGTGCGTCGAGCACGGCTATAATACGAGGCAAGCGGAAAGATTGAACAACTCAAGACCGGCAGGTGCAACAAGTACGCTACTTTGATGATGGCAACGAGGAAGTTTCCGAACCGTCAGTCCGAATACAATATGGTCCATGAATTTGCCCTCTCTTCTTCTTCGTCTACTTTGGGAGATGATGAACACGATATATATATTATAATGTCTTCGTTTCAGGATCCGAACGGGCGGACAGCACCGGGGCCACGGGGGATCGACTCAAGGAAGGCGCAAATATCAATCGTTCCTTGTCGGCACTGGGAAACGTAATCTCCGTAAGATAATGCTTTCTTTACTGCACCTAAATAGTTTCGTATTTCTGTAAAAATGGAAAATAAAACTAATAACGGTCCCCTGCTGCATCACCTGGACGATTGTACCACACAGAAATTTTGACAATCGAACGAAGTTTTAGGCGGAAACAGTGGTATTACATGGCTATTTTATGCAAGGCTCAACTGAAAAAATGGGAGATAAGGAAAAAAGAAATCGAAATCGTAATGTTTCTGACGTTTTATGTCGAAAGGTGGTCAGGGTCCAGCCAAAGGACGAGTTCGACTGTGGTCTAGCGGATAACAAATCGTAGCGCTCTACCGTCTGAACGGAGAACCAGGCCTATTAGTCGCTAGTCCAGTATTCAACCTCACAGATCTGGCCGCGGCAAACACAGTAAATGGCTGTTTCAGTCTCCTTTGTGCCTGCCAATATGACAGTATGCTGACACAAAGATGGTAACCTGCGCCTGAATTAGTCAATAGTAATATAGGACTTTTGTTACATTTACAACACTCTCACCACCCTGAGCTGAGTGGCAAAGCTTAGGCGGGATTTTTAAGATCCTGCGCAATGACTTGCAAAACTAAAAGGTCTGTCTACGCATGCCGCACATGAGCGGTGCACGCATGAATGATCAAGTTTTCACACAAACCAAGAAGAGGCCGCGGCTTGGATCCCAACCGAGTGGGAGTGTTACTAAGAACACAGTGAGAAGGAGCCATTATGCCTGACTCTCTCTCTCTCTCTTGAGAGAATTGAGTTATTTCGTCTGTTGACGACTTTTCACATCACGGCGTTTACCGCACGCAATATTCTAAAGGCATGTCACACTGCCTTTACTGATGAACTGCGCTCAGTCGTTCTTAAGTTATCTCCTATCCCATGCACCAGCTAGTTGTCCGTGCCAGTTCGTCGGCGGGGGGGGAGTTGAATTGGGCGCAGTGGTTAACGGGAATACGGGGTTCGTCTACGCGTGCCGTACACAGCCTGGTCCGGCGTCGGATTTTGCCAACAAATGCGCCCCCCATTTCCTTGAGAGGTGCCTATTATGTGCTTATGGTAGGTGAGATTGGGCAGTTTTGCGTGTGATACATGGTGACGGGGTTTAAACTGCAGTGCTTCGCCACAGACTAGTACGGAGGCGCATGTGGTCTGCTGTTACGGGTGCGCCGGATGTACATTGGTACATCTGAAACCGGTGCGCCAGCTCCAATGCGTTTGATTCGCAAGTCTCTCGATGATATTCTCTGTAGTAAATTATTTGGCAGTGACCATTAAAACCACGTGCGGACAAACAAACCGGTATAAGGGTTTATCCGTCATTGCCGATATTGACAAGCATCAGTACAGCGTTGATGCGTGAAGGGTAGACATCACTTTGTGTGTGGATGAATGGGACCGGAATAGCCCACGCAAGGACTGAATAGGTGGGAACGGCGTGAGTCTGAACTATGGGTGATATTTTATCTATTGTTGCTGTTCATATGCACCTGACAGAATAGGTCCATCATGTACTGGCCGAACAAACATGATGTGTTTGAGGAGTGTTGACCACGACTTTATAGGTCAGTTCTCTGGTCGCACTGAGATAGTCCAGCGGGCAACTGATTAGGCCGATTGTAATGTGCGGCCGCGCTGTGGACAAGATGTCGCTTCGTTCATGTAGTTGATGGCTGTCGGTGCCCTTAGGGTCTTAATTACGTCTCCATTGTGGTGGGTTTAAAGATGTTTTGTCAGGGATAATAGTTAGGGGCGTCCCCCACTTATTGGTTTGCTGGCACTGCGGCGAGGCCAAGTGTGTCCACTGATGCCGATCTAGGCCTTCAAAGCGCTTTGATAGAAGGGACATACGGGGAGTTAGTCAGCGAGATTTCAGTCTTTGTTGTCTATCATCTCGCTCTGACCTCCATTATTTAGTAGGCTCTCGGTACGGTTGTTTCATTCTTTATGTCCGCTCGTGGATCGTGGCAGCCGTCCCCCCAGTCGCTTGTTTACTTTGAAGGCATTTAGTCGAGGTTTTTACTATTCCCTTGTGGGGTCGTTTCATCGCACCTTGTCTGCGAGCGTCGCTGTCGCCGTAAACTTAAATGGCATTTCGTTACGCCCTCATTAACTCTTGTCCCGATATGTTTGCTTCATCGTGGTTTTATTTGCCTCAGCACTGCACAGAGGCTAATTGTGCCACCTGTCTTCTGCATTCGGGTGTCTGTAATCCCTTCCTCTTACATCCTTTGGAGACCGACTTGTCAGAACATGGGTTTCACGCCAAGACAGATGACGTGGTGATTTTCGGCGGGATACTAAAGGCCTTTCTGGCTTCAGCAACCTCAGCTGCAACCTCATAGAGGTAGAGGGTTCGGTAATTTTAATTTGTTCAGTTTGTTTCGCATGTTCCATGGTTAATTCCCGTTTGTGTATGACAGTCATCTTCTGCTTGTTTATGACAAGTCCCAAGTGGGTGCACCCGAGGGCTATAAGAATCAGACTTCCTTGATCGGCCACCTCAGGCGCGATTTTCAGCGCATACTTGTCATGTGTCCTGACCTTGGATCTTTCTGTGTACGCCTTCATGGGGCAAACACTGAACTACTTCCCATGGTTCGATAGATAGTGTCGATGTCTGGTCAGTCCTCTCGGCAATCGTCCGTCAGTATTACTAAGAAAGTTGGACGAAAGATGATTAGAGCATGTTTTGTCACAACGCATGTCCAAGGTGACGACTTGTTGGGTCGGATCTGGATATGCTGCCTCACCTGATGTGAGCAAAACCCAGCCATCTGTAACACCGACCGGGGGTAATAGGGAGTTTTACGGGTGGTGCGGTCGGGGAACGCACAGGCGACAAGCTCAAGTAGTTGTATGCAAAAGAAAAGCTATTTGGAATGCGCAGTTGTATTGTGAGTGGTCAAGAAGTAGTTTCCCTAACCCATAACTCGAACCCCTGACCCTAAGCCATAACTCCCTATTCCTAACCCCTTAGCCCAACCCTAACCCTTAACCGTAGTCCTAAACCCTACACTTGAAACATCCAACGCGAAAGTTAGAAGGAGACGTTAGGCTGAAAGTCAGGAAAGACCACTGGTATTGGACTGCAGAAGGTAGACACGGCAACAAAGAAACAAGGACGCCAACAGAACACTCACCGCAACGCACCATGCCAACGTTATCACACCAACTCAAAATAATCAACAGTATTCTGTCCATCAGGTGCTGCTAAACAGCCAAATCCAACCACTTGTTGCCTGACGCAAAATGTTGAGATATCCAAGCCGCGTCAGGATTTCGGCTTTCGAGCGGGTTTCTCTTGGACCGTCCGCATAATTAATATTCCGCAAAAATGGCCGCTTAAGTAACACGAATTTGTACCGTTGATGTGGGCACACTCATGAATTCAAATCTATTTCATAGAATACATACATAGGAATATTCTGTCTTTCACTTATTTTGGTGCCGAATCACGTCCACTTCAAATTTTATGCTTAAAGAAAGATTATCGTTCGGCTTTAAAACACTTTCTTACTTCCCAAATAACTTTGAACCCGACCTGCCTTTAGATTTGCATTAAGGGCTTTCGAACTACAAGCTGTATAGTTTTCATGCAAAGAAAATTTTCAAATTTCTACATGCTATTATGAAGAGGGCATATAGGGCTCATAAAATTTTACAAAGGATGTGGACCACGTTGGCTGCTTTAAAACAGCATTAATAAATGTGCTGATGCGACGCTGTGCGAGTGAACACCTAACGATCTTAAAAATCTCATAGTCCGAAAGGGGCTCTTGATTCAAGTATAAAATTTAAAGAAAACGTAATTCTCTAAAAAATGACTAGAAGATAGAATTTTCTTTTGCATGTTTTCAATAAATTGCACTTTACTTTATGGCGGTATCAAAAATTTACGTTTAAAAGTTATGCTAAGTGGCCATTTTATACGTAGGATTGATTATGCAAACGCTCGTTCAAAAGCCGGTATCCTGACGTGACCGGAATATCTTAACGTTCTGCGACATGGTAATTCGCCTTATAACCCTGATAAAGTAGTCTTTTCGGATTGCAAACGTATTCGAGAATTTCAGTGAAAATTTCAGGAGATGGCACATCTACTCCTGTGGTTTCGATTTTGCTTGATAATCAGAGCGAATCGCTTTGGGCCTCCAATTCCCTCCACTAACCTTCCAAAGATCATCTCAGTAGGAGGCACTGAAGGCTTTCATGAGGTTTCGGGGCCGCTGCTCATTTCCTAGCATTTTTATGCAGTTAACTGGCGGTTAAGGCGATATCGATAGTTTAACAGTTTTCCTGGAGTCTGCAGTGACTTTCTGGAAGAAATGATCTTTTCAGTTGTGCTTTCGGGTTATTAAATAGTACCTGTGCGAAACGTTTGCCAGCTCTATTGAGAACCGTAATTCTCTAATGATTGTATCAGCGGTTTTATCGGCCGTTTGTGCGTGAAGCATTATGGTAACATTCTTCAACTTCGGCGGAATTCATCCACTGCATCATATCTTCTGGAATGGCGGGGTCAACCTATTCACGATTTGAGGGCTTCCTTCTTTGCCTACTTCAACTGGGACTGAGTCAGCTTACGGATGTGTATACTTCCTCACAGATTTGTTCCTTAGTCACTTCGCCCAAGTTTCCCGAATCTGCAATTTCTCCTGTAGCGTGTCTTTTCATTTATAAATTGAGTAGTCACGAAGTACGAGAAAATGTTTGTTAATCTCACTCGTCGCCTTGATAATCGGCCGGTTATTTAGTGTCTCTCGGTTTTTTGCCGACGACACTAAAAAGTGCGGCCATTTTTCAGGTAGACCCTACGCAATTAGTTCTTTGCGGAGATCCGTTGCCGTGTTTTGTTGTCAGTTTCATCAAACCGGTCCATGTGGTATTTCGCATGCAGATCCGACGACCTCAGTGACACTTTTATCGATGGCTTTCCACAATATTTGCCACGTTTTCTCAGCGTCTTCCCCTTAGAGTTTGCAACCGAGTTTCTGACTCTTGAAGATTCTCAAACCGACTGAAGTGATAATAATTTGGCGTCCTTCATCCTATCCGCAAACAGACTGGGTAAACTATGGGAAGACATTAGGCATTCCAAAGTAGTGCGCCTGCATCCTCTGTTGGCCATCTGCTCACATTATTAGAACCCCCAATTTTTTAGTTGATAGACCGATGTACGGATACACCTATAAACCTAACAACTCAGCAATTATCCATCCTCTTTCGTTTTTTGGCACGACATCATTTAAAGTATTCTTTCTGAAATGTCGCTTCTTCTGGAATTACCTTCAGTGGGTACCCCTGACCTTTACGCGCTAGAACGGTCATGTGCCCGGTGAATAGGCCAATTGGATTTGAGCATTCATTCCATTGCTTTGATATCAGGCGCGAACGAAAGTCTCATTGTCCCTTTTATAGTTACATGTGATTTTTTGCACTTCTTACCCTCCTAACTATGAAGGCTTTAGCTGAAAAGAAAAAAGTCGTACCGTACCGCGACTCCGTGCTCACAAAACTCCTTCAAAACGCCCTTGGAGGAAACAGGTATAAACACACATATCACAGTGACGCACTGCTCACACCTATGCTTTGACTGTGTTGTTGAAATGTTGTTGTGTTTCTTTGTTAAGTCTGCCACAGGTCCTGCCCGTTAGTCGCATGAACTGGTCCTCAGTGTCGATTATTGCCTGGGCGATATAATAAAGGGTAGTAATATGTGTACTTTACGTTATCCATCAAAAATCATAACTATGTTATTGTAGAAAGGTCGTTTACCGATCCGGTTACGGGACAAATTTATTCTGTTATGTCTTCGGGCTCAACCTGGAACCCCTTCGAGCGGTCGCATGGAGAAACTCTCCCCTCATAATTTTGTGCCCTCGTAGGGTTTGCGACTGACATTGCAACGCATACGACACTGACTGGATTCTTAAAATATGTTTGAAAACCGTGTCATGCATGCTTTTTCTGGGCAATTTTCCCCTCAGTCTGGTTTAAACACAGTCTTGCAAAATGTCGCTGGATAAGTAACATAACTATTTACGTCTAATTTTGGAGATCTTGTAAGTTAAATTTTCGAAGCAGATCTGTAAATGTTGCCTTTGTGGAGGCCTAGTACCTGAGAGTAAAATTCCACCTTGGTCGACAGTTCGAGCGAAGTCTCCGACCCCCGCCGTGGGGAACACGACGTGGTAGGCACAAGTATAGTGACTTCCACGCAAATTCGTCTACAGTTATAGTAGGACTTGCGCTGAATCTACCGCACTCTCTACTCCCCACCCACCTAGTTCCGATGTCCAGACAGAGTCAGGAAAACCAAAGGCGGGATCGGGCGCGAGTGGCTGGCACGGCTTGAACCCACGCCTAGGCACGCCACTACATCCCCTGGTCCACGCAAATAGGACCAGGGTTTCCCAAGACGATAAAAAGGGAGCGCCTTGGACCTCAGATGAGTAGGACTCCCAAGAGTCAGTCTCTCCTCACAAAAACACACACAGTGGGCTAAATACGATGTCTGATTTGAAATCGTCAGTTGGTGGCCTTTCGGAATCACGGCTTTTGGCGTATCATGCTAGTTTCCAGCCTGTCAGTTATATATCGTGAGGAATATGAGCTGGGAGTCGACCTCACCCGCCGCCCTCTGGTCGACTGTCCCTGCCAGTCAAATAGCTGATAGAGAGATTGGCGGCAACCGGTTCGCATGTACCATACACGACCTGGCCCTCACACAATACACCAGGATTTCACACAGAGGCATTGTGCTGCCCTGAGCTCACACGTGTTAGAATGACGGAGGCAAGTAGATGAAGATCATGCATACCACTTACGTGTAAATTCCTTTTTCTGTGTCCGCTCATACCGTTGAGTATGTGGTGATTTGGGATGCGTGGTGGTTGAGGCGATGACGACGGGTGTGTGTTGGTGTTCCTGGCACTGATTTTCCTGTTTTAATGCGTGGAATCGCAATTGACAAACCAGGCCGATGAGTGAGGCAGATGTGCGGTTGCAGTATGCGCAGGATAGTTATTTGTAATGGTGATGATACTAATGATGGCCGCGCTGTTGGGAGGAGAGTTGACGGAACTGGATGTGCAGTATATGCTTCATGTGTCGATAATGAGGTGAATTTCACTGTCGTGGATATGAGTGTATTCGAGTAGGCCCGTGCGATGGCTGAGTGTGCGTGGACAGTGCAGCAAGTGTCCGTCGGGACTTCTAGCACTGGTTTACCGACTTCGGTTTGATGGTCCCGCAAAAGACCGACGGGTCCGTTGCGTGCTGTGAGTGTGGGTCGAAACGAGGACAGGTTGGGATCGAGTCCACACTGTCTGTGGTAGGCGCGATGGCTGCTAGGCTAGGGGTCTGCGAGACATCGGCAGTGTTCTCACTGCTGGCGGGGAGGGGTGGACGCTCGGAGTTGTGGTAGCCGTAATCGCCGCCGTTGTGGGGGTTGTGGCAGGGACGGTAGAGTTAGTGGGGACGAGTACACCGTTAAGTTTCGACACGTTTTTAAGACATTCACGTGAATATTCGGACCGTTAATTACCCTCTTGTCTCTTATTTACGCTCATAAGCCGCCTCACGCGAGCATCGAGCGAGATGACAATGTGCTTTCACAATTTCGAGACCCCTTGAACTGTCGAAAACTCAGGTTGTACATCAACATGCGCTGAAATAACTGATGTCTGTGACGCTCACGTACTTCCTGAGAGCATGTCTCAGGATTTTAGGCAAGTCTTCAATGGATCTGGTGCTTTCTTGTCAAACTGACATTTTTTCATATTTCGACTGGCTTATCAAAGGCATTTTATGTGGAGGAAGGGTGTTTACAGACTCGTCCGTTGCATCTTGGGGCTCCATTTTCAATCCTTGCAGGCAGTCGTTCTGCGATCAGTAATGATGCAGGAAAGAGTACTAACACATGTAAGGGAGATGTGGCCGGCCGCTTCTAGTTCGATAGTTATCGTCAGCCAGCCTTACCCAACACCATGTCGGGATGACCCGATATTCGAACCCGCATCAGTTGGACACCGAGAGTTTTCACAGTTTCTCCCTCTTTCCATCGGTTGCGATCGGATATATTATTGAGGATGGAAGAGTGTTCACTAATCAGGTTGCAGGCCACGCTCATCCTGTAAGAACGCCTAATAAGAAATATTTTTAGGAATCTCTGGGGCCGCCAAAGATATAGCCAATAACTAGTACATGAATGCAGATTAAATTAGTTCTTTTTCTCTATTGCACAGTAAGTCCAAATACACTGGGGATTTCTACTGAATACCTGCAATTGACATTTTATGTTATAAAAATTTGTCTGATTCTCCAAAATATGTTTTCAATTAGAAAAACTAACTTTGGTAGGTTTGCAGTATTAATTATCAGGTCGCAAAATATCAAGATATTTTAGTTACCTCAAGATGTCGGCTCTCGAATGAGCTTATGAATCTTATGCGTAACTATATTCCGTATTGAACGCTTAAGCCACATGAATTTTGTCACTGATTTTTGGTACCTCAACAAATTAAGTTATTAATATCACTTACAGGTAGCATGCACAAAAGTATTCTTTCTTTCACTCATTTGTTAGGAACTTACGTATTCGTCAAATTTAATACTTGAGGAAAGTGCAAACTCCGCCTTCTAAATTTCGAACTAATTTCGAAACCAACCTACCGCAACATTTGTGTTCAGGGTTTCTAAACTACAAGCTATATGTTCTGCATGCAAGGAAAATTACACATATCTGTATGCTAATGCGAAGAGGACAGGTAGGATGTGGAGTTTGCTATCCACATCAAAAGCTGAATTAATAAATTTGCTGGTGCGATTCGGTACGATTAGACATTTTACGATCTTGAAAATTCTCCTACCTAGAGGCTTTCTTAAAATCGACAAAAAATCTTCTTTCAAGAATAAAAATTGGAAAAAACGTTGTTTTAGACAAAATGAGTAAAAGGAAGAGTTTTTTGGGATGTTTACTACTAAGCGGCATCGAAAATCAATAGGAAAAATGCATGTCATGTAAGCAGTCATTGTTTACGTAGGCGGTTGATAAAAAACTCGTTTGAAATCCGACATCCTGACGTAACCGTATCATCTCGGTTACGTCACACGTTAATATACATGACAGCCGTGCCTATATAATCTTTTAGGATCGCAAACGCATTTCAGAAATCCGCCTTATATCTCAGTAGATGGCACAACTACTGTGATTTTGGAAAATTTGGTTACCTTGGTAGTATTTGAACCCACATGAGCATGTACACAGCTTGAGCTACGAGACCGCGAGCGTGAACCTTGAGCTTTCCACATTTGGACTGGGTTACTCAGCCAGTCGGCTGCAGCCTATGGAGTCCACCAATTCTGGCATGATATACCGACGGTCCGACAGGTTTTCCTCAGCAGCAATCTAATTGTACAAAAAACATTATTTTGATGGAGAATAAGGCTGATCGTTGGGAATTAGCTCCAAGCTTGGATAACCGCTATACGAGCTGTGTTGATTTGAGCGTGCCGACGAAATTATCGATTCATCCCTGACCTCCGGTCTCTTCAAAATACCACCATGGGTGCCGAGTTTACCCGTCAGATGGCCAACTTCCAAGACATAACTCTTAACGCCTTGTAATTGGTTTGAGCGCGTCGGATGTATTGCAATGAGTAATGTGCTGCTGTGTGTTGATTCGGTTTTGAGTTCATCCTCTCCTATGCTCCAATCGACTTTCCGGCCTGTTATCCAACGGTTGGCATTATTAGGAGTCTGCATTTTAGATCTCTTGACAGCCTTAAATGTATCTAACACTTATCCTACTTCGTGCACATTTGGTGACCTAATTGATTAAAGGTGTCTTAATGTACGAATGATGGTTAATCACTCGCAAACCCACACTAGTGCGTAGGTCAAGTACATATGTTAATAAATAACAACTTTAAGGAAATTAAAAGCATGAAAAATGTGAAAACTACTGGTGCGTTGTCTAGAAATACCAAATTCTTTGAAAGGCGGAAAATGGTTGTGACTGTGCAAACATCAGTTTTCGATGTTCAGAACATATACCCACGCCAAAAAAATCATTTAGACTTGACAGCAAGATAAGAATAACGTCTGAATATAGTATTTTAGTAAAGTTTGCATCCAAATATCCTCTAAGAATTTATGTAGTTTCAGGTATGACCATTTGCCAACAGCCTACTTTCTCAGTATAGATTCCAAAACGGTTTCCCGAGGATTTGTGGCATTTTCTACAGCCCTTTGGGGCGTCTTTCCGTCTGGGCTTTGAACAGAGTGGGACAAAACGTCACATGCTTACGGGTGAGGAAGCGATTAAGAACAATAACATCACCGAAGGGTTGGACGCGTGTGTTGTGTCGGGAATGGACGCGGGCGGAGGAGGGGGGCGGTTGTGTGTTGCCGACCCACTTTACTGTAGGCTGCCATGACAATAGTCTTCAATTCTAAAATTACATTCTTTTGTCACAGTTTTGCATGTAACACTCAGTAGTGATAGCAACCATCTGCCTCGTATTCTTTCAGTGTCCAACAATCCACATGGCTGCCTTTTATGTTTAATGGGTTTACTATGGTGGACCACCGTTACGTGCCACACTGTCATTCTGAGTGAAAGTTCCCGCTCTCCGTAATCGCTCTGAATTTGCAAACATCATGAGGAAGCTGGGGTTGTCAAAGCGAATAGAGGATGGCTCATGCTGTTGGTGGCAGGGAAAACCTGACGATGGCTTCTGAGGAAAAAAAGCACATTTTCGGCTCGAACTCTCATGAAACTGCATATCTGCGATTTTGGACGACAGAGGGAAATGTTCGTTCAGCAGAGAATGTTACGTGGCTAGACACTGATGAACTTCCTTTCAACTACACATCCGGTTAACCAGGTTTGTGGGCCATCCGCACTGTCTCCATACGCGTTCCTTTTGCAACATGGTGATCAGGATTAGGGTTGGCTGAAATAAGGTAGATTGGACCCGAACCAGGTTTCTGACCGACGATCATCATCTCCATATAGCCCCCTTCCATACGTATATATGAATATTGGTAGAAGCCGGTCAAAGATCCTCTTACAGAACTCACTCGTCCCGTTGGTCTCGAGCCCAACCAGAAACCGCACAGCGGTACATAAGTGGATTCCGCAAAACGATCAAGAGGGAACAAGTTAAAGGTGCAACGATGGGGTCGCCGTTATCGAGCTTAATGCTTCGGCCGCTCACCGTGAAGACTTTCAGCAGGAACTGGACCTGGACCCTTTTGTCGGCCGGCTCGGTGCAGTGAGTTTCTACACGCCGGTAGAGTGTCTTTACGTAGCTGCGTTTGTGCGAAAGGGGGTGCTTACTGAGAAAAGTCCAACTTGATTGCTGAGACAGTGTTGAAGCGACTGGAGGCACTGGCTCTTGACCACCATCGACTACGACTGTGGGCACGGCATGTTGACGACACCTCTGTCGTTATCATTCGGGACAGGGTTGCGGAATCCACGCGACATCAGAACTCCATCTTTTCAGATATCCTGTTCACAATAGAGGAATAAATTAAGATTTCCAATTGCCGTTTCTCGACGTGCTAGTTCAGATAAAAGACGGTTGGGAACTTAAAACAACGGTTTACTAATAGGCCACAACGTTCCTCGTATTCTGAGTTTTCTTAACAACCATGCCTTTTCGCGCAAACGCAGATGCGTGAGAACGCTCTACCGGCGCGTAGAAAGCCATCGCAACGAGTCATCCGGCAAAAAGACCGAGGGACACTTCCTACGGAATCTTTTCAAAGTCAACGGACGACCTGGGAATTTTTCCGAAAAGTGCAGGCGAGTAACCCCGGGAGAAAACCGAAGGGCAGTTTAAACCGCAGTGCTGGTGCACAGTGCCGTACATAGCTGGTTTGTCAGAAGAATTCGTCAGACTGGTGGGCGAATTTAGAATTGGAATCGCTCAAAAATTCGGATGACTGTCTAGAAGCTGCACAATGTTCCGCCGACAGCGGGAAATGGTCCACACTTTTCACTCCGCATGCGTGTTCTTTCATTAGGGTCTGCTATTCGTCACCGGCCTGTCTGATGAAATTTGATTCACGGGAATTGCGCCTGACCCGATAGACGACGTCTGCCATTTCTCCTTGTGTTAGGGGTAGCTTTAGGTTTACAAACGACGGTGATCTCCATTGCATATATCGGATGAGCATGTACTTCTGAAGCGTTTAAATATACTATAAAACACGCCGAAGTTTTGTTTTTTAGCCTTATAATTTGCTTTGCTGTCTTCAGCAGGGTGTGCAAGTTGAGTATTTATGAATGCATGCATGTGCTCTGCCCGTTAGCTTTCAGTAGGAATAGGATTTCAATCAACGTTAACATATGAGACGGGTGAGGACTTCGTTTCTTTTAGTGGTTCTGAAACACGCCAAGTTTTCGTTCATGTATTGTCGAACCCTTATACATGGCCAGCGAGTATTGAATATGGAAGCCCATTAAGAAAATAGAGTCCAAGCAATCTTGTAATATGGTAAGGATTTTAACATTAGTTTTACCAGTAGTCAAGATGGGTACGACAATTTGCTGAAGGCATTGAGAAAGCTCGCACTTCCGCGACATGTTCGTTTTATTACTTCAACAATGCGCCGAAACAGACCTAGACATTTGAAAGATGCAAGTAACGGCGTGTAACCTGGCGGAAAGCAAACAATCCAAGGTGGTTGGTTAAAGAAGGCCGGATCGGGTAAAATGGGGCTCAGAGAATAAACATAGCCCTAATCCTTTCCCCAACCTTAACCTTCATCCCGATCCTAGTCTTAGACCTAGCCTTAACTCCAACCCAAGGTTTATTTTTTCATAAGCTTAGTTAGGAACATGACTTCGGGATAACATACCTACCGAAATAAAATAAGTAGACACTACACTGGTGAAAATATGGGCCTGCGTGTGCAATAGCGGCAAAACGTACTTTGTTCAAAGCCCAGTGGCTACTCGTATGCATATCAATCATTATTCTTTAAAAAGCCGATTTGTTCTTATCCTCTTGCCGCTGAATAACTTAACACTAAAATTCCAAAACCAGATCGAATAGTTTTCATATCCATTGCGCCCATCAATTTTCGAAAACTTCCGTAAACGGGGCATCTACCCAAATTCAAATCAAAGAGTCTAATGACCCCAGTTCTAGACGTACTATACTCGGTGGTTCAGATTCTCATAACGCCTTGAGATATGCGGATTTTAGTTCAGGTTTTTTTTTCTAAAATCGTCTGCCCTTCACAGTGCCTGCCTCTCACTGCTTGTCATCTGTCAAACCGAAAATCAATAAGTAACGCTAAAAATAATCTCTACTTTTTTGACTTAAGTAAAACCGTTATGATAGCAGCGCTCTCACCAGCTGACATTAACTACGAGGAAACATTGTCGACATTGCGCTACGCCGACCGAGTCAAACAAATCAAAACAAAAGCAGTTGTCAACGACAAGTCCCAGGACAAGATGATTCGTGAACTTATGGTAAGAAAAGAATCTTTATTATATAACACATCTATTACTCAAAAGGAAGAGAACGAGAAGCTTAAAAAACAACTTGCGGAGATAGTCAAGTTGACGCCCACAACACTGAAGTCCGAGTTGTCTCCAGAAGGTCAGTTGATTGCAAACGTTTTATGCATTTTCCAAGATTTCTCCCTCCTAGGGGCACCTGAACGTAAACATGTATTTTTTGCCAAACAATATATCTTTCTTTCAGAGTGAAATTACAGACACTAATAATCCAAGTTCTCTTTTTGTGCCATTGTTTTGTATTTTAGAAATACTCTCCTGACCAATAAGGGAAGAAGACGACGTTCCCGTCTAGGGACATTTATGCTCTGAAAAATTCCTTCCGGAGTAGTGACTTTAAGTAAAAAGGGAGTATATATGGTCGCACAGAATGCCCCTATTGTATTTAGAAACCCTCAGACTTCCCGGGAGATGACAAACCCAAGAAGACGGGACCCGAACTCTGGTGTAACTGCGGGCTCCACAGCACATCTACAAGTGGCGGTTGGTGGAACAACTTTCGGCGAAGGCAAGTAGTGAGGGAAATAGGCACAGGTCTGGTAGTCGCGCAATGGCGGATGATGAGACGCTACTACGTTCAGCCGCGACTGAATACTGAACTGATAAAGTTGGCTCCCCTTGAACAGGTCACTAGTTATAGCTGTACAGCGTGTCGACTTCTGCAAAGAAGATGAATGCGCGATCACTGGGGTAGTACATGCATTAGCCCGAGCTTTCGGTCACGTACAAGAGGCTGAGAGAACGCAACGTCAAATGAGCAGTTTTGTATTCGAACAAATATGGGGGAAGGTAGGGATGGACGGGCTGGTTTTCGCGATATGGTTGAGTACACGCCGTCTAACAGCGTCGTGACGGCTTGCGACCTTGGCTGGGAATTGAGTAGCGCCTCTTGGCCGCGAAAACGAAGCGCGTGATAGCAGGGGGGGGGAGGAACATCGACGTGTTTGTCGATGGAGTTGGTGTCAGACACCCAGCCCTCCAACAGTTCTCGCCCTGTCTTCCTGCTGACTCGCGCCATCATGCACATGCTCACGAAGTTGAATTCGTGGTCCTCCCCCACGGTTATGGGTAACGACCTGATACAGTGGGTCGCCTCTCCAGACTGCCCGTTTGTGCTCCATTGTTCGCAAGCGAAGTCGTCCTCCGTTCGACGTCTGCCAGGCGTCTGACAAGAAAGTCCTGTGTGAAGATGTCTATTTTCCACCGCAAAGATGACATGCCAAGGAACTTCTTACGAGTCACCCTATGCAACCACTGGCCGCTAAATAACGATCTGGGAGTTTCATTTTTTGGACGGAGAGCCATGACCTGTACGGTCTGATTGAACTTGATGGGGACTCGCTTGTCACCACGAGCGACAAGTTCTCTCTCAAACAATAGTAAAGTTGTCGAACGGGCGCACACCGATCCAGCATTTCGACGCGTCAAATAAGGAAGTCTCGGAGCCAGAATCTGATGTTCCAGCCAAGTGGATGGAGATGTCTACTTGTTAGCACAGAAATCGTATGAAAACAAACCTCTAACGAGCTGCCCCACGCAAATACTGGAAGGCAAATCACAGTTTTGGCGGTTTACTGGTTGAACAGAAGGTTATGATCTGTGCGCTCTCATTGAACTTGTTGGGCACTCGCGAGATAACAAGGGAAACAATTTTTATCTCAAGCTGCGTTACCATTGTGTACAACGGGTACACGCTGATCCAGCGGCTTTCCGAAGCAAACAAGCTTCGAATGAGTGGCAACAGTCACGAATGCGTCGACACCTCCTCCGTTACTATTGTTTGCCCGACTTCAGGCCTGGTAGCTGGTTGCTGGTTCATGACCTCTACTGCACACGCCGAACCAGTTTGTTTCGGGAACTTCATGGATCGATGTGCACCCATTCTTCACTTGATCTGCAGCGACAGGGAGTGCCAGGTTGCGGGACGCTGATGAACTTCAGTTTGATGAAGTGCTTCTGATTGACCGCGTTTCTTAATCATCTGCGTTGCGTCTGTGCGCACGTTTGTGTTTCTGGTGCCTGATGGTATCCGGGGGTTTTATTGACCAAATGAATGCAAAATAGTCCCGAAACTGTATTCTGTCTATTTACGGGAGATGTGCTAACTCATGAAATGCTGGCCGAAATTCTGAAATGCGTTTTCAACTCGCAAATATTCAAATGTATTTCATTGAAGACATGCATAAGAATAATAGTTCTTTTACTCATTTGGAAGAATATTACGTGTTCTTAAACTGTTATGCTTGAAGAGAGGGTATAATTTGGTTTCTTAAAAGATTGCTAAATATGAGATTTTTTAGTCCGGATACTTCCGTTCATTAGACCTCGTTTCTATCTATTTACTAATTTAGCTTGAAAGGTTAACAATATGGCCCAAATCCACTGCTAAATTTTATGAACTTCAATTGGTCCCCCCTTAATAGCGTACATAAATGTATGGTTTTCCGAGCACGGAAAATATAAAACTTGTGGTTTGGAAACCCTAAAAGCAAGCATAACGACAGGTCGCGTTCAAAATTACTCGGAAATCGGAAAAGTTTCTGAAAACCGAAACATGCTCTTCCTTCAAGTATGAGGTGGAAAAAAGACATGATTTTCTTCCAGATGAGCAAAAGGGGGAATGTGTTTATGTATATTTTCTAGGAAATATATTTGAATTTGTAAGGGCATCGAAAATCGATGAGGAAAATGCATACTACTTAAGTTGCTATTTTTTTTAGCAAAGAGAGGCATCCCGAATTAACTGAATTATCTTGGGAATATGTAGCACGACAACTAATCTTGCAGCCCTACTTAAGTAATCTTTCCGAGTCGAAAACGCAGTTGAGAATTTCTGCTAACATTATACGAGTAAGCAAATCTACTGCACTAGCGCTACTGATATTTCAATACCTGATCTGCCGCGACAGAGAATGCCAGGTTGGGGGGCACTGATGCACTTCCGTTTGATGAAGCACTTCTGATCTAGCCGATGGACCGCGTCTGTTTACCTTCAGCGTTGCGTATGTGCGCGCGTTTGTGTTTCTGGTGCCAGACGGTATTCGGAGTTTCGATTGGTCAAATGAATGCAAAATAGTCCCGGACCGGTATTATATTTATCTGCCAACTCTGCCGAGATTAGTATTAGACGTAGAGTTCGAAGATGACTCTCGTCTGGCATTCAGACAGTAACATCAAACCAGCGGAGATATGACGTGAGTGACCCTGTATCTTACCTCAGGGATGAAAACGGTGGGTTCAGATTTACGGGCTATTATGCTAAATAAAGGCTCCGGTTTAAGGGATTTTTCTGGTCCAAAGAAGTAAAATTTGGGAGTTCTAGACAGCATTTAGCTATGGCCGTACTACCACATACTGGTAAGGATAGAGTATATAACTGGGGTGAGTCTACAGTACATAACTGCCTACTATTTTTACTTAAGTAGGTATGGTAAGATCTTATTTAGCAGCCGCATCTGTTGGGGTTTAGGGTTAGCGGTGTGATAGCGGGCCTGCTTCTGCAATTAGGTAAATTGTGTGTGGGGCCACTGAATGCGCCAATACAGCAACTTCTCAGAAAAAGAATAAGAAGATGATAAAGGAGAAGATGCGGATGCTGGGACAAGAAGTTAAATGATCTGACTTTCTCGATTCTCACTCGAGGGTATCATCAGAAACGGTCGCAGAAAGGATTCTCTTACGCCAATCACATTGGCATGGCGTAGATTGTGGGAGCAGTGCTGGTTAGTGTTGGACAATAGCCCGCCGGCGGTTGCAGAATTTTTGCTTTGATTCTTCATGTTTTGTTCTTGACAGATCATTCCAGTCGATGCTTGTTTTAAGTTTCATTGTTTGTTTTCTCTCGTTATTTTTCAATATTTAGAACGCTCTAGAATGCAGGAAGAACTGCGTCATGAAATCCAAGCACAGTTGCAGGCCAATTCCGAACGCCTAGAGGCTCAAAACCAGAAGGCTTTTCTCGAAAAGGTAATGCTGATTCGCAAACTATTACTCCAGGGGCTTTCGATACCTCAAAGTCCACTCCCGTAGTAAACCCTGAATCCGCACTTTCCTTGAAGGTAGGCCGCGCAAGTTAGGATAAGCCGGATACTGTCACTGTGGTTCAGCTTACGTGAATCACATGGCTGTTTATGTTGCAGACTAATTTCGGTTACGCAATAGTTTGTGCAGACAAACTTGAGGAATTTCGAAATTCCAACAGTCCGAGTACTTCCTATGGCTCACAATCTGGAGGCGAAAGTCCATACATCCCTCCGGCAGCACATACCTTCTGCATGACGGAGTTTTTTTTATTTTTCATGCTCCGTTCATGAGATCCGTTTTTGCTGATTTGTGGTAGCTTTTTGAAAAAGTAAAATTTGAGAGTTTCAGAATTTAGTTATGGCTGTGCAACCACATACTCGTAATGATCGAGTATTTGACTGGGGTAGGTTTACTGTCCATAACTGCCTACTATGTTTACTTGAGTAGGTGTGTTAATATCTTATTTCGTGGCCGCACCGGTTGGGGTTAGGGTTAGCGGTTACGCGTTAGCGTAAGGAGTTTGTGTTAAGGGTTCGGGTTAGGATTACGGGGTGGGTTTAAGGGTCAATGTGGAACCCCCTATTACCACCGGTCCCGTATGATAGGCGGCTACGGCTTGTCTACTGCAGGGGCAGCTATGTAATAAGATTTTACTGTATGTGTTGTTCAGTACGGTTTTGGGTTGGGAGTCAATCACGCTCACGTCCTTATCGAAGACAGTGGCTTCCAAGATCATCACCGATGGCCATTTTCGGTTCGAGTGGATACTTGGGCTTAGGTCAAATGTCTCAGTGGAGGGGAAATGCATGCACCTGCCTAATACTCATTGACCCAATGATTGATGAGGCGGTAGTTGGAGCTACTGACTGGCACTGACCCAGTCTCAGCCGCAATTTCACTTATGGACTGAGCTCTGAACTGACTAACCAATGTTCCTTCACTTCAAGCCAGATTGGTCTGACCCCGGTGTCAACTGGCAGAAGTGTTCGCGACAAGCTTCATTGTTCAAGACTTGCGCCACCTGAAAGATGAGCAGCAGATTATCCACGTCACACCCATAACAGACACGCACTTTGGATAGTATCGAGTGCCTCTCTCGGGCACCGAATTTCTTGGACTTCTACGTATCTTCTTCGACCTTGACCTCTGTTCAAACCCAAGTTAACCTGTCCTTCTTTCCTGATACAATAGCTTGAGGAGGCTCGGAGAGAGGCCGCCATGTTGAAGGAAGTTGCTGGAAACGCAAAGTCAGAGAAAGACTCAAAGTCAGGCATAGACTGTCCTTATATCTCCAACCTAAATGAGGATCCTCAACTTTCAGGCGTTATCAATCACCTCCTCGAGGCGGATGAGGTACGTTTATCGGCAATGTCGTAGTTTTCTGTTAAGCAGATCTTCTATCTGATTTTCCGCAGAAATTTACTGGTACAAATTTCCCCCCTGGATGGCGGAAGTGCTTTACTTAGTATCCGGCTCCGAAACGCTAACTGATTTCTAGCTACTATTCTCAGCGGAGTTTGAGGTTAGAGAACTTGTTAGATACCTTTGAGAGTGTGGACCTTAGAGACGTTTTCGTTCCCCTCCCCCTCAGGTGACCGTCGGTCGTCAAGGTGCCCCCGGGAACCCTCAGACTGCCGAGGAAGCGATAGACAGATTGACCGGAAAGAAGACTTGGGTGCTGCTCAAGGGTCTCAACATTCAAGACATACATGCCAAGTTTCGTAGACTATCTAATGGACAGGTTGAGCTGGTCGTTGTTCAGGGGGCCTTGAAGAACACCAAAGTCAACGGAACTGTGCTGACCTCCTCCAAGGTTCTTGAACCTTCCGATCGAATATTATTCGGTAATTCTCCAACCGCCCTGATTTTCATGTTTCTAAGTGATTACTCTTTATGATCTGATTCAGCATGTCTTTTTCTACCTCCTAGGTTCTTACCATCTGTATGTGTTTCACAATCCCAAGCAAACTCCGCTAGACAATGAGAAGAAGGTTGACTGGGAATATGCCCAACAGGAATTAGCCCGAGAAGAGGGCATGGATCAGTTCGATAAATCTATGATGGAGAAAGGTGTGAAATGAAACAAAACGTATCAAAAAACAGACGGCAATTGTATAATTGTCCTCCCTGAGGCATTTATTACGTCGGTCAGTGCGAAGTTCAGTTGAAGTTTTGATTAACCAATAGACGGACGGATCAGTTAAGGGCACGTGTTGTCTGTCCTCAGGATGGAGGCCACTCCTCAATCCGCCACTCATTTTCTTCCGCAGGAAGAACTCCGATTCAAACCTAGAGTCCATAGGACAGTTGAACCGTATTTTAAGGCATGCTTCCTACATTTTTTCGCATTCCACAGGATTGTAGCAGGCACCAGATTCGAACTGCTCTGACTTCACCGACTACCGAACTGGTGAAGATGAGGAGGCTAATATTCCTAAGCTGCATTTATGATGGACATGCCAGCTCGAGCATGTAAATGCTGACTCAAACAAACAGATGACTGAGACTAACAATACCTGTCTGGGGCTCCACCAGAGCAACTCGTAACGAGTGGCGGTAAGCGTAGAGTATATCCTTATCGACCACAGTGACCATTAACACTTCCAGTAGACTGGAAGAGCCCGATGGGGACTAGATGGGCAGATGTGGACCAATGCTGTTTTCACTTAACTCCTTGCAAATTGTCGCCCCCGGAGACTGCAATACTAACAATAGACGAGTTGCCAATTGAGCAGGCAAAGGAAATCGCAGCCGCGGACATGTAATTCTCACCTTTGTGGGATTTTAACCGTCCTCGAAGTAGCCCAAAATAGGTAGTGAGAACAGGTCGTGTGAGGCACATGTAGACGGGTTGGTGCCCGCGCCGAACTTGGTCGTATTGACGTTGTCTTGTCCTCAGGGACAGGTGAGTGAGGCAGGAGAGAGTGTGGTAGGTACTGCGCATGTCTGCCTCATCAGTTGACAGTTCGACCGTCATTGCCGACGATGTCACGGTTAATTGCATGTGAATCAGTTTACAGTGAGGGTGTACTTGCGCATTATCTACCGCACTCTTTCTTGCTCTCCCACCTGGACCCGGAGTCAAGACATAGTCAAGGAGGTCGGAGGCGGGAGAGGGCGAAGGTCGATGGCACGACCAGACCCCCACCTAGGCGTACCAACGCATCTTTTGGCCTACAGCAAACACCTAACGAAACTTCTTGGCCAACAGCAGTATCATAACGGTCCAGTCGCGAAAGGATGTCGACATTTGAGTGAGCATCTTTCTGACCGTCTGCAAAAACCTTATTCGGTAAAAATGACTAATCAGTTGGAAGGACTCTTTCGGGGATTTTCGGAAACATTGTACATTTAACTATATTTTGTAGGCAGAACACATGAAAATTATATTTTCTTAGAAGATTTTTTACGTTTAGGAAATTTTCATTCAAAATAGCATCGTATCTGTGTGACCACTAATGCTTCCTACCAAATCTACAAGGTGGTCGATGCCAATTGCAAAATTCTACGGGACCTATATAGTATCACATCAGTAGTATTGGGGAATGCATGATTTTCCTTATACGGGTCGTGTGTACCTTTAAGTTCAGCACTCCTGAAGACAGGTCGGATCCAAAATCACTTGGAACTCGGAGACCTTTTTAAAAAAACTGAAATAACTTCTAGGAACAGGGGATTTTCTGCAAAGTGACTTCAAGGATGCAAATCTTGTGCATGGTCTTCATGAAGTATGTTTAATTTAGAACAGCATTGAAAACTACTGTAAAAAAATCAAACCACGATTTTTGCAGCCGAACAAGAAGGTGAGTTTTCAAAAGCCGACATCCTGGCCTGTATGAACTTACTTGTGAGTATACCATAGGTTAGTCAACGTCACAGCGACACCTACGTAATTCCACTTCAGAATTTTCACCAACGGCTCATGAGATAGTCACTTACTCTAACATGTGGCAGTCTATGATCATAAAAGGTCCGATGCAGAAAATGATAACTATTTCCTTGGAGAGACAACGTCTGTCTGTTTCGGTCCTCCTGTCAGTAGCCTGTGTTGTTTAACCATCTGTAACTGGTCAGCAAGCAAATAAGAATTACGCTGGACCGCAAGAGCTCAGTTAAACGCAGTGCCTGCGGAACTTCACCAAGTTTTGTAGCAGCAAAAGCAGCAGCAGCAGTAGATTCCTTGCAAGAAAGGTCATCGGAGTGGGAGGACTTGTTAATTCTTATTATTCCAGCCCTTCCCTACCCCAGCCTTCCCTCTCCCCAGCTTTTTAACATTTTCCTTTATTGCCGGTAAATTTAGATCGATACATTCTGCAACAACAGCTCATTGAAATGATGCCCATGGTAAGGGAAGTGAACGACATGGCGTGCAGGATGAAGAAACAGCGGACCTTTGAGATCCTCCTCTTGCCGGCTCTCATCCAACAGGCTCTCTATGGTCAAGGAAAAACGACAAAGTACGCTTACCCCTTCGGCATCTCGATTGGTTTTTTGGTCCCGTGTCTAAGCACACGAGAAAATGGCACTTTGAACAATATAACGCGTTTTTACCGACAAGTCCAGGGAGCTCTGAGGGGGAGGGAGGGGAGGAGACATTTATGGCTATTCTGCTGTCCTCAGTCCTGGCTGCGTACGCGAGGTTCAAACCACTCATAGACTGCTGCTAGCCATCAAAAGTGCAGTTGCTATTTTCATGATAACTTCGCTTGCCTTCATGCCAAAATCGGATAGGAGGGAACAGAGAGGGACTGCTGATCTTCACGTCCACTGTACTACTGCTCGTACCACTAACACTCGAGACAGTTTGTTTATCTGTACAGAGTTGACGCTTTTCCGATTATTTATTTCCTTTATGATACCTTTTCCAGTTTTTGAGATTTTTCAGTTGCTTGGAAACAAATTGGGAGTTCAAAGGTGAAGACCCATATTTCCCTCGATAAAAATGAACTAAACTGAACCTTCTCAGCGGTAATGTTGATTTTTAGTCGAATCCACCGATCGCTCACTTCTATCGGAATAACCTTCTTCCCCCTAGCAAAGTCTGCTCGGAGATGCTTTACATTTGTCTCACAACAGCGAATTTCTTCGTCGCTCAATGTGCAACCTTCAAAAAGTCATTCATTTGCCATGAATATGGAATTTTGCATATCTTGTCTGCGGAATCTACTTGAATCTATATGCGTACATGAGGCCGACACTAATAAGTGCAATATTTCAGCGAAAATGGCCGGTAAATGTCTCGCCAAAAGCCAACATATTACTACACAATCAGTGGGCGATCTCATAAAGGCCTTAACTGAAATTCCGAAATGCGTTTCAAGTTAGAAATGACGGTCAGATGTTGTTATGTAGCCCCGCCTGAAGTAAACAAACCCCAGCCACTTGTGATACGGGGCCGATGGTAATAAGGGGTTTTACAGGTGGGGTCGGGAACGCACGGACGACGAGGTCAAGTAGCTGTATGTAAAAAAGATATGGGAGATGCGCGGTTGTACTTTGGGTGGTTGATAAATATTTGCCCTAACCCCAACCCCAACAGTATTGTGTCCATCAGGTGGGGCTACATAACCACATATAACCGAAATGATGACTTAAATGAGGCTGTAATGCTGGCTATCATATTGCAATATCCCATGGTATTTCAGACCTCTCAGAATGTTAGTTGTTTACTTAGCTCCTTTTCGACTGGCTGCGAAGTACATATTCGGCAAAAAGATGGCTACTTAAGTAGAATGCGTTTTTAACTGACTTTAAATGTATCTGTACATTCCAGTATCGTTTTTATAAAACAGGCATAAATGAATTCTTTCTTGCTATCGTTTATCGGCAACTCGCGTTTTTTCCAAATGTTACATTCAGAAAAACGTGTCTTCCTGTTCTAAACAGTTCCTAATTTTGAGATTTTTTGGGATCGTACAATTTCAATAGCATCTTACCTGTTCCTTTACTAATGATTCCCAATAAGCATACATCACAGTCCTCATCCGTTGTAGGGCTTATGAGCCCCATATGGTATCTTTTAATGGCAAGTTTCATATATGATTTTCTGTACGCAAAAAGTATACAATTTTTAGATTGAAAATCGGGAATTGGAAAACGTTTAAAGCCCAAATATATCGTTTCTTTGATTGCTTTGCTCGGAAGCGCCCCCAGTGTCAAACTATCAGACATGCGAATATGTGCCTCTGCCGAAGAACAAGAGGCCTTATGCTTTGACCCTGAACCTAACCCACCTAATGCTGACCCTAACACTAACACCAATCCTCAACCCCCAACCACCTGTAATTTCCGTGTTCCACAGCCTTAAGCGAAAACTAGAACGGGGACTCTTTACGGTCTAACATGTTTCCCCACTGTCTAATAGTTGCATATGTAATTCCGTTTAACGAGTGCAAGTTCTTTCTGAGCTTAGAGTCATGCATTATCGATATAGGCGAAAACGCGAGCTTTAGGATGTACAGTAGGTGGGCTGACTCATGAAATGTCGGCCGAAATTTTGAAATGCTTTACCGTTTCGAAAAGATTAATTAAGTATGGTTGTAAAAATAATCATCACCCAGCAAAATTCTATAATGTTCCACTTACCTCAGGGTGCCTTCTTTCGAATGAACCTATTTCGGACTGCATGCAAGATCTATGCTCTTCAACAAATGACTACTTATATAGCATGCAATTTTCCCTTTGATGTGGCTTTTAAAGTTAACAATATTGCATGCATTTCTCTACGGTGTTAAGAGGAGACCATATAAGGTTCATAAAATTCAGCAGTGGATTTGAGCAATATTGTTAACTTTACAAGCCACATTCGTAAATGCAGATACATGACGTTTCATGAACGGCCATCTAACGGTATTAAAAAATCTCACAATTATAAACTTTTTAAAACCGAATTATACACTTCTTTTGAGTATGAAATTGGAAGAAGACGTTATTCTCTACTGAATAAGTAAAAGAGTGAACATTTTGATGCATTTTTTCAACGAAGTATAATTGAGTTTTTAAGGACATCGAAGATCAATTAGAAAAATGCATGCTACTTAAGTAGTCATTTTTTGCAGAGCATAGATCTTGCATGCAGTCGTAAATGAGTTCATTCGAAAGCAGGCACCCTGGGGTAACTGGAGCACTATACAATTATGCTAGGTGATGACTATTTTTACAACCATATTAAATTTATCTTTTCGAAACGGGGACACATTTCGATATTTCGGCCGACATTTCATGAGTTAGCCCACCTATTGTATATAAGTGGGGAGGAATCGACTCGACCACGAGTATATGAGCGTTATAGACAGAAAGCGTCGGATTTATGCTTAAGTCTTACATCAGAGAATGAAAGAGACAGAGTTAATGAACGCGCAGAGACGCAGTTACCACGCAGCTACGTACCCACTGAGATTGATAACTCCTACCTCCATCGTGAAGACTTATAGTCGGCGTGATAATTGCTCGACCACTCATATTCAAACCATAAGCTTTGAAGACTGGCACTGAAACAGTAGGTGAATAAATGTCTTGTTTAATCGATTGCACCACCGGGTCTGTTAGTGTTAGTCAGTTCCTGTCGCCCACTCCCCGCCTCCTCGCTTTTAATGTATCGTCGCTGGTGAAGTATACAAACTACACACTGACCCCCTCGTACCAATTTCGAGACGCCGCAGAGGGGAATTGCATATCTAGTAGCTTACAATTTTTTCTTTGACGTTTTTAAGCCCTCTAGTGTTTCATTCACAGGTCTCTGAGTCACGAGCCACCCTCCAGCGCAAGCAGCGTCCACACTGGGTCAGAAGAGAGGCATGCAGCCTGATTTTAATTTAGCTCGATACCTCGAGCTCCGAGGCCACACGGGAATGCTCATTCCTGTTTTACTTTCGGTGTGTATTCAACATCTCAATGGGCCGGCAGAATTTAGGTCAACTGGGTGGAGCATTCACCTTGACATTCTTAGGGAACTACTGTATCTGGGTTAAAACCTCCGATCAATTAGTGCCCGAGATTTAACTATCACTGGCTAAAAGGCAGCAAATAAAACAGAACTAATCACTCCGGCGTCCCTTCCCTTTGTCACTAGCACTTCTTGAGTCCAGCTCTCATTGCTTCATTTTTTACATCGTATGAGAGTAAATGCCAGCGTTGTGGGGTCTAAATCATGTTTCTCTGGCTCCAAGAACAGGTTATGCGACGTTACGCCGAATACCTGGAGGTGGCATGCGATCGGTGAGCGCCCGCCTACCATTGTATATTCCCGATCGCAATCGGCAGGACAACAAGCCCATGGCTCAGTGGTTAGAGGCGATGGACTTCTAACTAACAGGTTGCGAATTCGAGCTCCAGGTGTTCCACACCTCGGGGTTGGGTATTGCTGGCTGACGACGGCTGATAAGTCAGAAATGGCCATTCCAGTCTTTGTCGGTAATTTTAGTCTGCCTGTATCATGCGCCGCTCTGCGGCTGCTGGCTGGGCTCGAAAGAGAGCCGTAAGGCAAACCGGGACGAGTGAGTTCCGTAACACCGATCTGTGAGCGGCCCTCTACTGTGCTCATTTTATCGTGATTATTTGTTGAGGTGTCGGTCATTTCCATGTCAGTACTCCACAGAAACTTAACCGTAGGCCATTTTTTAACCACTTAACGTACCCTCTTCCCTAATGTCCACCCAATTATTCAGACAGAAATAGGGACATTATTTTACTTCCAATTGCTTGCAACTGGTAATTATCTCTAAGCCTAATCTTTTAAATTGCCTTTAGAATAATGATTCGCATGAAATGCGATGTTACTGGACACGTGTGGATCTGGGAGAGAGGAAAATTCCTGAATCGCCGCTTCCTGATGCAGGTATGCATTCTCTTTCTACCGACCGCCTAGCTCCAAACCCTTCAAGTACCCTCAATCATAACTTGACAGGGCACATTTGGCCCGAAGTCTACGTCCCTCCCCCCCGCCCTTCCACTTAGAGTTAATACCAGTTTGTGTCCGCTCTTGCGAGAAGTTTGAGTAAGCTTAAGTTTTATTGGTTTTCTAAGAAAGCAATGTACAGTCCTGGAGCACAAACCTTAACTTCAGTCTAAAAGCCAACATGAATAGTTGCGAGTTAAAATCCACCAACTACAGCAGACTAAGCGTGCTCCACTCACACCCTGCCCACTGCAGTCAGTAGTATACAACTATTGATTAATTTACCATGGTTACAGCACGTGTATTGTAACTGAAATCCAAGGCGCCTGTAGCCTCTTGTTTCAGGCACATTAAGTCCCTTCGGTAATTTCAACACTCTGGGGCAAATACAATCGGATAAGAAGCATTTGTTCCGAAAATTGCGCATTTGAAATTATTACCTGCGTGTATTCGCTTTTGCAAAACGTTCTCCCGAACGTAATGCACAAACTTGGAGTACATTTTTCAGCACAGACTTCCCTAAGTTGCGTTCAAAAGGTGGTATGAATATTCGTTAGTTTAAATCCAACAGCTCCAGCGGATAAAAACCGTGTAGTATTCACACACTGCGCACAGGCGGTCACTAGTGTGCCGATAGTGATACATTTCCTCATATTCGCCCAGACACGACTTTTCGCCGATTTTCGGCCTTATCTGCTGGTTCCCAGCCTCCTCCTTCTGCCTCTGGTTTTTAAATTCCGGATTTATACTTTTCCCATGTCTAAATGGGCGAACTTTCAGTGACTGATTCGACACGAAAATCCGCAGACGCGGTTCAGAATTCTGCCTTCTGATATATTTAAACTCAAATGAATCATATTCAGTCGAATAACTGTGACTGATTTATGTAGCATGGAAAACCCAACGAAACATGCGTCTGAGTTTGTAGCTAGTGCCTGTAAGGACAGTCAGAATCAAATAAAACTCCAATTGTAGTGTTAGAGCGCCCGAAACAAACAAAAGCAATTAGAAGTAGGACACAGAAATGTGAGTCTTCCGTGGCCTTGTGCTAAATTCCAGAAAGGGTCCAACCAAGTTTCGCTTTGCAGGATGTACGGTTTGATTAAAGATCACATGAATTCGATTGGTCCGCGCTTTGTATTGCGGCGTCTTCCGTTCACTCATATACGCATACTGGTATGTTTTTTTCCGTATTGTTTTGGTGAACGCGTCAGGTTTTATGATACTTTCTAGTATCTCACCCTACTCTGACGTCTGTTTGTTTATTTTTTAGAACTTAAAATGGGGAAAATGAGCACTTGGGGTTACTTGACTGGACTGTGGGCATATTCCGTCGCCAGTTTAACTTCTTTAGCAATATATTTCAATCGAAGAACACCAATTGTTAGTCATTCCTGGGATAGGAAATATGTCTCTGGCCGATTTATTTAGCCTTGTGGTTTTTAATATGGCCCAAAATTAACTTTAGGTGCGTTCAGTAGATTAGTGCCGGCAGTATATGATTGTTAACCTTAGTAAACGTCGTCTCTAAACTAGGAGAGTATCCATTTTGACTCAAGACGTCACCGACATAGGGCTGCGTAATCACTCAGGGAAATGGTGCTTATGCATCAGAGCCGTCAGTTTGCTTGTTTGAGTCTTTAGTCAATCCCCATGGACTTTAACTCCTTTCGACTGGCCCTCACCAGTAGTCAGTAAAAACCTCGCTTTCGGTATCGGTATGTTGAAGACACTGTGGTTTCTGCCAGAAAGGGCATGATCCAGCGTCTTCATAATAATCTTGTAATAATTGTCTACTATAAAGAAACAGTTGGCAACAGTATAATAGTTGCTTGCTGACAGTGCACTCGTTAAGCCAAGCTCTTGTAGAGGTTAGATCGAAGTGTAAAAAAACCAAACGAAATCTTTATCTTCAGTGGAAGACAGGTAGGCTCTGTGAAGGCGTTCCTGAAATGTTTCCATCCACAGCGCTGACGTCTGTGGACAAAGCAGGCAACATCTGTTCTTTGCGCAAAATACTTACTTGCAAACCCCCGAAACCCGATCCATTTGCGATCTTTCTCAGTAGTACAGCAGGCACCCTCGTGACGATAAGCATCCTTCAGTGCCTACTAACAGTATTTGAAGGAAAAAGTATTGACGAAACAGGGGAGACATAGACGGCCAACTAAAATTTATTGGCTGTCCTCAGTCAGCCATGTCAAACCCCAGGTTTAGATGATCCAGGGCTTGAGCCTGGATCCATTGGTTATAGAACGCTAAGTAGACCGGTGTTCTTTCCCTATCAGTGACAGTCTACTGTAATAAGTGCGTCCACCGATCAGGTTACGAGACGTACGTATATTATTAGTCCCTATGCGACCGCTTGCCAAAACTCTGTATTGAACCCCAAGGCCTAACAGAATGAGCATGTCCCGTAAATTGATCGATGAAGGCCCTTCCTAGGATATATTAGGAGTATTTCTGACGGATGTGAAAACATTATTCTGGAAGTGGGTCTTGAAGATGCCCACCGTCTCACAGTCTCTATGTTTTAGGGAAATTATCCTGTGTCTATGGCATATCTGCTGTAAATGACCATATTATAAACAAGTCAAACCGGATGGGAACTGACAGCAGGCGCACGTGAGTAAATGGCTGACGTACGATTCGGTGACCAGTTCTCACAAAGTGTCACCTACGTTCTCCAGAGTAAGTAACCCCCGCCACAAACCATACCCTTGCCGGGTATTCCTCTGATTCTGCAATCGCGAAGGTAGTTGCTAGAGTGCAATGCAAGGCAGCCGTCAAACACTTCAGCTCCGGCAACTACCTGGCCATCAGGTAGTCGATCTGCCATCTGCGTACGCTAGCCTGCGCAAGTGTCTTCAAACGGACAGCAGGGGCCGTTGATTGATTTAAGCGTTCCATATATGCAACACACATTTTTGGCCGCCTGCTTATGACTGCGGATAACGCCGCACTCCCCAAAATGCCGTCCTGCTCTCAAGTTACATTTTCATTTTTATCAACAGCACTAAACGAGAATACCAGAACAGATGCCACCATCACCATGAACCTCACTGACAGCATTTTCACCACCACTTAGTTTACCATGTCAGAATTATTACAAAGCCAATCATCACTTCTGGAATTACACGGCTATAGGTACCCTTCTCCCGTATAGCGAGTGGCCCTGCACCATAATCCAGTGTGATACCTATTCCTGTATTCGAACCCTAACATTAACCCTAGCCGAAATCTGAACCCCAACCTCTTTGACGTCTAGGGCAAGTTCATTCTAAGGGGATAATTATAACTGTACCCTACCCCACTTCTGATCAACTGACATTGTCGCCCTCAAATTTACCTTTCCAGGAGATGTTTCAGGACTTTGAGAACCCTGATCCCGAATCAGCACGGAAGAAGAGCTTAACTCCAGAGGATGATCCCTTCTGGGAACCGCTGGAATCCCTTCTGGTGGGATTTGCGCCTGTCTTTCTTCAATCCCTGGCTTACGGTCTAGACTTCAGCGATCGTCTGCAGATCAGTGACCTGGACGGTGCTGCCATTGGTTGGCTTGACGCAGCGCTACAGCCCTGCTTCCAAACGGGCAAGTTATCGGTCAGTGGTGACGACTTCTTTGTGGACGATCCCAAAGAACTCATTGGCAAACCTTACTACTTTAAGGTGAGTGCAGTCTTCCCATAGGTTTCCTAAGTATTAGGACGGAGGGGCCTATTTGGCCCCAAGTGGGTCTGCTGTGGAACTTGCGATCCTGATGTGTGAGGCCTATCGCTGTGCAAGCCAATTTTCCTTAGTTACGAATTTGCTAAAAATTTTGTCATCCACTTTGGGTTTTCGCTGTTTTAACAAATTATAATGTTCTATATGGCAAACGTTCTCGAGAAGCGCGAACTTCTTCGCCCTTTCTGGGTCAGCACTGTTGACTATGTAAGTTTCTTACTAGTGCCGGAGACCTCGCCCTAGATGGCATGAACTTTCTGGCAAGCCTTAACAGTACCTAATTTAGCTGGACATAGTTAAGCATAGTTCAAATCCCTTGCTATTCGACCAGCTTGAAAATGCACTTAAAACCGCTTGAGGAATAGGGAAGAACCTCCATTGTTGATCTCCGCCAGCGGAGAAATAATTTGCTTTACGGACGTTTTCTACCGGACTTAACTCTGGTGCCAGTTTCAGCGGCAGCGTTAAGAAATCTAAGTGGTGAAAGGTACGAGAAATCATCGATTTGCACCAGTCTGCTATAATCTTAGGACAGAAGTCAAGATCATCTGTTTTGCATATCCTGTCCCCCACCCCTCCTGACCAACCCTCCGAACTTTCCTTTTTTCTTACTTCTTAAGTGACTTTTTATCACTGCTAATTCTTTCTAAACGTATCGCTGCTAATGTACGCTGATAACATGACAGGATATTTACGTCAGTAGGGAGACATCCACGCCATAGTTGCGGCAATATTTATAAGGGAATTTTTCTGCAGACTTTTGAGCCTGCCTTGCATAGGTCAGCTGAGGTATGCGGCCGTATTATCAGAGGCGGTCAAGGCCCTTGAATTTTATTGCTATATGCTTTCTACTTACTGTGTTTAGGTAACTTGACCAAATTTAACGAAATTACCTTTTTGCCTGTTCAATGGTTTTTGTTGGTGCGAGTAAAAAATCCCATATTTCTACTATTCACGGATGAGAGGTAATTCTGAAGTCAACATGTGTTTCTCCCGCAGTTACTCCTACATCAGTGGAAAACTGCTTTCTCACTTGAAGGTTAAATGGTTTGAACTGACAATTGCCCACATGGCAGTTTATTTTTGTACGAAACGGTTACTAAATTGTTTTTTTAATTAGCTCAAAAGAGGGTTGTCGTTTTATGTTCGGACTGCCCACGAAAGCAGAGGTTGTAGGTAGGAAGAAGGATACACGATCGCTGGGACAAGAACTTTACTAGCCTGACGTTTCGGATTCTTGCTCGAACCAAACATCAGAAAAAAAAGCAGATACGGGTGGCTCATGCAGTGTGTTTAGGATGCAGTCATCATGCTACCGCATACGTATGTAGCCGCACCTATGAAGTCTCTTTTATCGCCATTCCCATTATTAAAATAACTGTAGGGAAAATTGGCGGACGCAGACTTGTAGAAGCTTCATTAACTGTGATCACAAAAAGGTCTGCCTTTGCCATTTTTATTGCTGTTTCTTTCCTTGCAGATTGAACTAAAAGACTTGGGTCTAACGGGCCTCAAGGCTCCCCTGAGACCAACTCTGCGCTACAGAGTTTTTAAGGAGGCCTGCGAAACAATCATTCCGATAGCAATCGCCGAACAGGAGCATGTTAGCATAAACCACTCCCGTCTGGTCACTTTCAAGAAGGTGGAAGCAGAGCATTTGGACTACTTTGAAAAGAACTGCATCACATTTCTCATGTTTGTTGAGCAGAGCGATTCTCCGTCTGCAACTGCCGTTGAGGTACGTTAAAGTACACTATTGGGTTAGAGACATTGATCCAAGTTCGCATTTAGATGTTGGTGGAGTTTGTTATTTACAAGTTTCTCTGGTCTAACACTTTCGCCATTCAAGTCGAAAAAAAAATACTCTCAAGATCAGTTAACAAACAAATGTCGTTAGAAAACCTAATTGGATAAAATACAAGGAAGATTTGGGTATCCCTCAGGCTGTTTAGAGTTTTAAATTTCCCTTTAGTTGTTCATAATTTCATGCGCTGAGAAGTTAAAGAGGGCTATCAATCATTGAACTCGGGCGTTGTTTCTTCAGAAACCAAATAAACATAAAATAGCAGGGCAGGCGAAGGTAAATTCGCGGAGAAGGAGACACGATCGCTGGAACAAGAGCTTTATTAGCCTGAAGTTTCGGATTCTCACTCGAATCCAGCGATCTTCGCGAGCACTTCCTGGAACTCGCCTCTCCATCTCTATTTACAAGGGGAAAATTCTTCGAATTTCTTCTGAAACATGATTATTTCTCTTTTTTATATCGCCTGAAGTCATAGGATGAGTTTGAATCGATTTGTTTTCAGTTTGCAGTACTAAAATCGATCACTCGGATTTAGAATTAACGTCGCCGAATCACTTTTATGAATATAAACAGTAGGAAACGGCGATTTCGCACAGTCAGAAACGTATTCCTTGCGACACGAGACCAAATCTCCCTGAGTGATTTACCGTTCAGCTATCTCAACGACTGAGTTCAGCTGTACGAATTACCCTATTATCAGATATGTTTATGTCCCTTCGAGTGGCGGACGATAATAAAAGTATGGCGTTTATCCTCGCCAAGAATAGACGCGTTAGAGGAGTGTGCGAGCTCATGGACTATATAAGAAACTTTCCGAAACGTCCGTAAAAACCTAGTTTGGTTTATAAACTCGTCCCCACTTTTGTCTTTATGGTCTTCTTCAGAGAATGGTAAAGAGGTTAATATACCTTGACAGACCTTTCTCGCATGTACTGACATAAATGTACATCGATTCACATGGCATACGAATATTCAAAAATAAATGGATCCCAACGGGTTGATGGACTTTAGTCGACGTGTATTGTCACAAACTTCAGCTGCGGTTAAAAATTCTACTGTTCAATATGCACCGCTCACATATTTGACGACAAGGCGGGGAATCAAAGTCGAAAATAATAAACGTTATTCGTACGCTAAGACATCTGTCCCCCTTTACATGCACATATATTCCTACTGAAATCAGCACACACCAAACCATTGGTTCCTTGAAGCAAACAGGCTCCGAATGGGTGGCAGAGATCATAAACAGGTGACTAACCAGGTAACCAAACTCTGTCAAAAGATACTAACCGGGGTTTTCTGCTGAGGTGCGGCTAGACCGATGCAGTGCCCTTTCGACTTATTATCTCCCCAGTCAGCCAGTACCTTGTTTACCATCTCTACCAGCAACGACAGTTCGACCGTCGATTCCGACGACGTCCACCGTACGCGACACAGCAAGGTGCAGTGGGCTCGGTGACTTGCGCGTAAATTAGTTTGTAGTAGTAGTAGACGTGCGCGACATCCACCGCACATTCTCTTCCTCACTCACCACCGAGTCAAAAAGACCGAAGGCGGGGGAGGGTGCAGGTGGCTGGGACGGACGAACCCGCACTTAGGCGTGCCCCACCACCCCCTGATGCACAAAACACACCTGACCAGGGTTTGTCACCAACAGCAACACCCCAACGGGGGCAACCATCCCTACCACTTGTGTACCTGGCGGGAACGCAAGCGCATCTACCGGTAGGGAACCAGGTGTCAGGGAACTGTCAACGCATACCTGGCTGCGAGAACCATGGTTTGCTGATACTGGCATAGCACACGCTTTCAGACCTTTTGACTTGGACCAGAAACACAGACATACACACACACCCACACGACAGTTCGATCGTCGATTTCGACGATGTCCACCGTGTGCCCACAGCTGCAGCAGCGGTGGGAGCAGGGACGGTGACTTGCGCAGGGGTTTATAGTGCCAGTAAACTTGCGCTGCATCTACCTACACTCGCTCCTCCTCCCCCGCCTGAACCCGGTGACAAGACAGAGTCAAGAAGATCGGAGACGAGGGAGGCCGCCGGTGGATGGCTCGGACGGATCCCCACCTTGGCGTCCCACCACACCCTCTGGTCCACACACGAATGACCAGGATTTTGACCAAAAAACAATGGGCGATGGCTTGTGACCCGTTTCGAAGGTGTGGGTAACCACTTGTGACAAACCACCACGCGTTCGTACAGAAAGCAGGATCCAAGCATGCGTCTGTAATTGAAGGTACCGTTTAGACACAGGATATAGTGCATTAAAACCGACTGCTCCTTGGGATTTAATTGATTCTCGATTCTCATGACTCTGTTGCGCATGATTACTTCCAGCCTTTATCCTATCCCAGCATATAGTCCTGCAGCAATTGGCTCAGTCGCCTCTGAACCATCCTTCGTGTATGATAGAGCATGTCATATAATCAGTGGGGCTTTCAGGTGGGGACTCTGGGAGCCGGTACGATAACGGAGGCTTAAAAAAATAAACAAAAGTTTCTATGCCTGCGTGAATTTCTTGGTTTTTTTTGAGGTTCGCACTTACACCTCCACGTTCACAATCTCCACTATTCTAACCAACCTATTGTCTACACTTAATAGTAATTTTTTCAGTTCTTCAGTTGCCAAAGTCTAGCTGGTGTTAGCTTAATTATTCGTGGATAGTGCATTTTGTTTTTCTTCCGGAGGACATTTCGTTTGGAAGATTTGTGCTTTATGTAAGTACGTTTCCTAGCCAGGAGCCATTTTTTCGTGAAAATATACCGCACCTTGGACAGCATTATACGACGCTGGCTTTTCTCATATTTAAAAGTCATTTTTTTCATTTGTCGATTTCAGTGGTGCAGATGTCTTGTCTGCCCTTATCACCCCCCCCCCACCCCATTCCTAATTGGTCGTCTTCCTTGTCCATGTAGGGACTCTAAATTCTGGTGGCCAGAATACTAAGACTGTGTTCTAGCCGTTTAAAAAGAGGGAAACCACAATGCGTTTCTTGCGCTTATGCAATAAATTTCAAGGGCGCTCTTTAGGCGGTGATGTCACTTGCAACACTTTCCACTACTCCCTTATCAGCTAGAAGTTAGGTAGCTAAAACTGACTGAAAACCGTTCATTGAACCATAGCGTACAAGTGGCCGGAAACGAATAATGTAAGCAGGTGAAGACAGGTCTGCCGACCAACCAATCAGAGAGTCGCATTGTCAATACCAGGGGACAGGAGAAACGATTTGATCTTTCACCAACGGGCGTGGATAGGTGGCTCGCTGCTGCAACTCAAGAGGGTGTTTATCGCATTTTTTAACCCGAGAGTCATGAGCCTCTGTACCTGTCGGTACAACACAGTCCTAAGAACGTATTATATTAACACACGCAACTTCAATTGAAGCAGTTTTGTTCGGTCTATACAGTCTTATCCAATTTCGAAAATCCGAGAAAACCACTTTTTATGATGACTTCTCTTTACCTAACCTCAGAATCCGTCCGTGGGACTGAGTCGTTCGGATGTGGGGAGGGGATCATTCGCGGTTCTCCAAAGTGTAGCTGAGCAAGGGAAGGAAAGCGTCACACAGAAGCTCCAACAAATACGTGAGAAACAACAACATGCCCACCAGACGGAGCTTAAGGTGAGCTTTCCGTATTATTTCTTTCTGTCGGTATGTCCGTCTCCTACACCGCTGCATTCTATGCCGAACTCCTTTTCGATCCATCTGGTTACTTTATGCGACTTTTCCATCCCCATTTTTAACTTTGGTCGTGTTTGAAATTAATATGTCAGACGAATGTAACTAACCGGTTATGCCCTCCACCGTAAGCTGTTTTTCATCCTTCGCAGGAAATGGTTTTGCATTGGAAGGATCTCCAGCCCTCAGCTGAGGCATTTGAAGAGGTGATGCACGCACTGAACGACTACTTTGATCCACAGCTAGCGTCCACGTCCAACAGCAAGCAGTCGCCACTTGGAGTCCACACGGAGGCGGAAGAAAGCATAACTGTGAGTTTTTTACGTGATCGTGGTCTTCGGATAGTAGACACTTTAAGACCCAGCACAGACCGTCTTGGTTTTTTATCCACGTATGATGCATTGTTTATCAAGCCTTTTTTAGAATTAACGGTCCACTAAAAAGCCCGTATGTGACATTGCAGTCCAACCATCGTTAACAAGGATGTCCACCGTGTGTCCTACGGTGTGGTAAACGCAGAAAGATGATTTGCGCATGAGCTAGTTTATATGGATAGTGGGCAAGGGCGACTGGAATGGCCTTTTCTGGCTTATTAGCCGACATCAGCCAGCCATGCTGAATTCTAGGTTTTTTATGACCCCGGAGGCTTGATGCTTTGCCCTGTTGGTTGGAAGTCCAAGGCTCTAATCACTGAACAATGGAACATTGGTCACACTCTCTCCTCCCTCCTCCACATTGCTCCAATGGCGGGTTCGTACGCAATGATTGATGAAATTAAACCGTCTGTCTACCCGTGCCACGAGCGACCTAGCCCCGCGCAATGTTCTGGGTTCACACAAAAAGGGGCGACTTGGATCTCCCTTGAGCCAGGGTGCCATTCTTACTCAAGCGCATATGGACGTTCATGCATCCATCCATTTTGCTTTTTACTGAATGAGATGGGGTGAATCAAATACTTGAGCTCGTAACTTATTTAGTAAAATTTAGTTTATAATTCCTTAGAGCGTGTTGACCCCACCTCTGACACCTGCCCTCACATGGTAGTCCCCGTCTGGCGCGTACATGTTCAATCACCTGACTTATCCCCTGAGCGCTATTTTTTAATGCAATTTGATCATTTACTGGAGGCATCACACCACGCCAGACATTCTACTCAACCCTATAAGTGAAAGAAGGGAGAGACAACGAGACCAGTCTGTTGTTCTCCGAAGACAATTTGGGAGCGACCGACGGGGAAATTTTCGACCCATTTGAGAAGTTTGCCGCCGATGCCCATTATTCTCAACTTGTGCAGGAGACGCTGGTGCGGAAAACTGTCGAACGCCTTCCGGAAATCAATATAGGCCACATGCACAGTGTGTTTTGCGTCCAGTGCTCTTGTCCAACTTTGCATTGTATATAGCAAGTTCGCACCACATGCACTTCCCCTACGGAAACCGTGTTGTGCATTGGACAAGAGGTGGTTGGTTTCCAAATAAGCCATCGAGTACTTTTTTATGGTTTTCTCCTTCACTTTGCGACAGATTGATGTCAGACTGACGGGTCTGTAGTTCGTCGCAAGAGCACGACTACCGCTTTTGCAAAGAGGTGTAATGTGGCCGTCTTCCAGTCTGTGGGAAGGATTTCAACATCCGAATATTTCTGACACAGAAAGGATAGTGGTCTGGCCAGCTCTCGGGTAGGCTCAGAAAGCAGCTTTGGTGGGATCTCGTCCGGACGGGAAGATTTGCATTCCTTCAAACTTTTTAGTCCCTCCAAAATCGCTTCTTTTCGAAACACATATTTTCGATTGTGGGATCTCCCATGTTCTTAGAACTAGATGGAATAACGTCGGCTTCTCTTGTGGAAACGGATATGAAAAACTGGGAAAAATGCTCAGCTTTATTCGTACTGTCCGTGTACTGTCGGTCCTGAGCGAAGCGGTGAGATAAAACACCTCGATCTCAGTGAGGCGTAGGTTGACTACGATTCAAGTACAGTGCCTTGCTCGTGTCTATTTGTCTGTTTCTCCTATTTCAGCAGGAAAAGAAAGAGAAGGTGGAGACCGCGGAGGACGCACAGAAGAGGAGGAAGAGGTGGAGCTTGAAGATCTCGAAGGTACGGAACGTCCCGCCCCCACTTACTTCCAGGTTTAAACTAAGGTGTGAATGGCACGCCGGGTTAGCAAGGAGCACAATTGGAGTAAACAAGGAGGACCAAGTCTGTCCTCAAAATGGAGATTAAGAAGCGTAGCGCTTACATGATTTGACTGCCGACACGCACGTCCGCCTTACCCCGATCATTGTCCAGAAGTCGTGCTTTTAGCAAGCACGTAGCATTTTGAGTAGAGAGGAGGTCGATTTATCTGCTGGGTCGTCATATGGGCCTAAGACGAGTTGTACACGGAAATATGGACTTCCCCCGTACTACGGGTGGTCTTGCGCTAAAACCCGTGTACCGACTCCGACCCTAATCATCCTAATTCTGGCCCTAACCTTAACCCTCCTTGCCCTTATCCTAACTCCTGCCCTGGAATTTAACGGAAAACCATCTGCTATACGGGGAGGGTGCTTAGGGCAGTGCCATGCCCTTAGATGAATGACAGGTAGAGCTTAATTGCATCGATTTAGAAGGAGGACTTCAAATCTTCAAAATTGCAGCGTGGATTTCTGCTGCTTGTCTAAAATTGGACTGCTCGACTCATATCATAAAAATCTCAGGGTCAGCCTTCGTTTCACCCCAAATGACAGCGGCCCATGCAACGCCTATCTAAAACACTGTGTGGCGGCAGCCTTCTAGTAACAGACACTACTCACACTGCTTACAAGCGCAGTAATCAATGACTTGTTAACTCAGCTGCGACCGAACGGGCACATTTGTACTGTCTTTACTAGCAAACTGTCGACCAGATTCATGCGGGAACCCACACCCAGCTGCAAGAACTGGGGTTGAGAGTCTCTCTCTCTGCGAATTAATTTTTGTCAAGGACTGGAATGGCCAGACTGGGTCGAGCGACTCTTCAAACAACCGCTCAACTGGCCACATCGCCCTGGTCCTCGAGGCGGTGATGGTGGACGAAGTTCGCTTTGAAAAGGAGAAGCTCTTCGGAAAATCGAGTTGTACTCGTGAATTTTCAAGTCGGTGACACCGACCCGTCGTCAGACGAAATGAACAGAGGGGAAAGCGAAATGGGCAGACTAGGTCGGCTGGCGCGACAGGACAGACATCGACAAACAGACAGCTGGTGCGTGAGAGGGGTGGGCAGCAAGTTATGGTAGGCTGTGGGGCAGGGGGAGAGAAGGAAGAACCGCTAGGGCTCCCTGTGTTGGAGGTGGAGAAAACGCGAGGGGATTGCGGACCAGTGGGAATGCGGGCGGTTGGTCACTGATGCGGGATGAGGTCAGGGGGCAATGCGCCGGCGTTGGAGGTGTTAGGGGGTTTCGGTTGTTGTTCACCGTGTCAGGAAGTTGGCTTTGCTGCCCAGGGTCGACTGTTTGTCACAAACCCGAGCTCCTAGCATCTGCGCAAATATCCGCTGGTCTGGTATTCAATAAATGATCGTACGGCCAATCAAAATGGCAATATCCTGGTTAGTTTAAGGCTTCATACTTGAGTTACTGATGCATATCGATCCGTAGTGCTGAATCTCGCAACGTTTACGGGTCAGATCACGCCGCTTTTAGAATGCGCCTGAAGGTTCCCTATTCTCGTGTAAAACATCCCGATGTCACAAGCTTATATAAATCCAGCACAACCAATGCTTTGGGCAGAGGAATTTTATTTCGGTCTTCCGACCTCACTCGAAGGAAAACGCAGCTGAGAGTGATTTCGGATTCATCTAGCGACGACGCAGCGAATGGATCAACACAGCCGTTTTGCACCTTTCTTTCCAGATAGCCCGCGTTCGATTCCACAACAAGGTTTCATTTCACAAACTCCGGAAAAGAACCATAACAATGACAGTTTGACCGTCGACTTCGGCGATGTCCACCGTGTACTCCACTGAAAGGTTCCCCAGGCACGGAAACTTGCACGGGAATTAGTCTTTATTGATGCTATACTTGTGCCGCATTTATCTCACTACCTCTAGAACACTAGTTAGGTAGTGACAAACACAAAAACTGGACTGTATTGAGGTGGCGACCTCCGTCGGTGGTACTGTAACCTTCTACCGAATTATTCACAAAGTTTATGATAGGACCCCTTCACTGGATGACTCTATTCACGACTTTGTTGTCCACAAGTCGGGAAAGTTCAAACGTTCCCGTGGGCACTTCGGGCACCTTCTCACTTTCGATGGCTTCATCAGCACTCACTTCTCTCTCTTCTGTAGCGCAGTTTCAACCTTTTCTGTGTATGATTCTTCCCATCGGCAACAAGAAGGCGGCCAGAGATGAGGAGATAAGCTCGCTTCTAATGACTGGGCCTGTCTTCATGGGGGAAGCTAAGAAAAAGGGTATAGAGTGCCGTTACTGCAAGGCCTTCATCGACGTCATTCGGAAATGTGCGCGATCCAAGGACGCAATTAAACGAAACTGTTTTCGGGCTGGGCATGGATGCGCGGACCATATATTCACACTGAGACACGTTCTGAAATGTCGCCATGGCTGCCAGCAACCGACGTCCGTCTGCTTTGTGGACGTGGCCGCTGTATTGGACCCCATCCGTTGTGAGTTCCTGTGACGGAGAGTGGAACTAGAACGTATGCCTGGAGAAATCATTGCTGTGATCATATTCTGCCATCGCCCCACTACTACGTGAGCTCTGGAAGATAAAAACCACTGGCGTACGCCAAGGTGGTGTTCTGTCGCGCATTCTGTTCCACTACGCCATTGACTGCATGATAGAACGAGACCTACACGAGTTTGATGACGTTAAATGTCCATCTGTGCACTGGCTGACTGATGCCGACTACTCTAGCGTCATCGCCCTGCTAGCCTCGGGCTCTGACGACGCACAGAATAAAGTGCAACGGGTGAATAAGGCTACTTAAATCAGTAGATCTATCCATATTTGCTTTGGAAATCCGAGTTATTGGTCTGTGTGTCTAATGAGCGGGAGTTCCGCCTCAGGTTTAGTGGCTGTCAACTTGAAAAACAAGTGACAGTTTCAAGTAGTTGCGCTAAGTTTTCAGCGAAAGGACAGACTAAAGAAGACGTTGCGAGATCATCGCAATCCTTAAAAAGTGTCTATTGATCCGACGCTCTATCTTAATCGCCACAAAGATCCGCGTGAACCTGGCGTCCATCCAACCTGCATTGTACGATCATTAATGCTCAGTTGTGCGTGTGGAAGGCGAACGAGAATCACAATTCCCCAGCATGGTTAGGAAAGGGACAAATAAAGAACATCAACAGCTTGATCCTCGCGCACATGGTAGACACAGACCACCGTGTAGACGCCAGAGAGGTCTTCAGAGTGATTTACAAGGTCCCATCAAGCTATCCAAAACTGCTTGGATAGCGCTTGTTGGCTACGGCAGAGGCGGCTGCAATCAGGCTACGCGGACCGGTTCTATGCGCACAGTTGCCATGGCTCAAAGCCACCAAGCCAGCCACCCGCATGTACATAATTACCTTCACCGGGACCCACCTTCTCCCTGGCGCTGACTGGAATTGTGGTTTTTCACTCTCCCCCTCCCCTCCCCTCTCCAAACCCGGGCTACAGGTAAATTATCTACCTGCCCGTATCTTTTAACTCATTACTTCAATAGCCATATAAATGTACAGGCCTGAAGAGAACCGGAATTGTTTAGCCAACACTGGTGTCCACCGAAGTTGTGTTAAATGAGACAGTCTGCACTCGCTGGAACATCGAAATTATATCATGGGGAACGTGGCTTTCGTTGTCCGCCTAATGAGTCCGATATCGCCGCCGTTTCACTCAGCGTTGCTGCTCAACCGGTGACGCAAAGGTCCGCTCAGAACCTGAAGCTGCGCAGTCCGTCAGGACTTCGAAGTGGTTTTTGGACCTTCAGTACTTCCTTTTGCGACACAGGCGGAGACGACTGGGTCGAAATCTCTGGATCCGCTGTCGCGAAGCGCATCGCGTGGAGGAGTACACTCCGCAAGGTCGTCAATGGTGGTTAGAGCACGCATAATAACAGCCGTGTCAAACACACGTCTAGTCATTCGGGGAAAAAACGCAAGCCACGTTAAACCGGAGCCATCTTAAAAATGTATTTACCTCGTTAATCCAAGTGGGAGCTCTCGTGAACCGCCTCTGAGTTTTATGCATGCTTTTCCCTAGATTAAGTGAAGCAGTCGCCAAATAACTATGCATGTGTTAAGAAAACTTCTTTTACTCTGATTCTCATTCCCGGAAATCGGATCGTCATGCATCCAGAATCGTGCAATAACTCAAAGTGCGTCGTACTTGCAATTACGCTTGTCCTCACGCCCGCTCTCCTCTTCCGTGTACCAGTGCAAAGACGGGTTTATGCCGGCTGACGAAGTGCTTTACGTGACATATATGCTTAATTTACATTCGTCCGTTCCAAGCGACAATACTTACCACGACCTCGGGTGACTTGCGCGTGACTTTGCTTACCTTGAAGTGGGCTTGCGCACTATCTACCTCTCTCTTTCTCTCCCACCCCACGCCTAACGTGCATAAATGACAAGGTAAAGTCAAGACGACTGGGGGTCGGGCCAGTGCAGTTGACGTAAAAAACAACGGTTGACGCATTGTTTAGTTTTTGATGCCATTTCAACAGTCGCACGCAGCGACGCCTACCGTCTGCACCACAGCAGGCTGGGCTCAGGGAAGGTGACTTGCTCCTAGAGTAGTCTTACACCGCTGTTCCCGAGCTCTCTCTTCCCTCGCCCACCTGAACCCGGTGCACAGACAGAATCAGGGAGACCAGAGGCGGGATCGGACGCAGTCACGGTCTCCTCTGCGCTCACCACACGCGACCTGGTCTCTACACACTGTACCAGGTTTTCATTTAGAATGATAGGTGACTCAGGTCCCCTCTGAGCGGAAGTGCAAAAGGAGTCACACTCAGAAGGGATCGTTGCAACCTGAATCTCCGTCGTAGTTCAAAAGCACATCTGATTGTTTGCATGGAGGAGGGCGCTGAAGTGCCAAGTGGATGGAGTCCCCGGCTTCGATTTCTCACGCTCCTCTTTTCTGTGCACCAGTACAGTGTTTTAGTATGTCGGCCATTTGATGCAGGAAGTGGACACAATAGCTGACGGAGCTGGAGCTATCCGTCTACGCGAACCATACACGACCTAGTTACCATCTCAGACACCGCGGAGCGTGCTCTTCACCAAATTTAAATACATGTTCTGTGTGTGCATGGCGTGCGATGTGGGCGGTAACATATCGACTTTGGAGGTGTGCAGGCTGTTTTGGAGAGTTGTGGTGATGGCAGTTGGTGTGCTGCGTTTTTCCGCACATTTTCGTGAACGAGTATGTGGCCGAATAGGTTGGTACGACGAATGATTGTTCTTGGGCATTGTGGACAGGGAAGACACATACGGCGGTTGCATGGTGGGGATTCTGGAACCGGTGCGCCAGTCACGGTGCGATGGATTCCAAAGTGACCGAAAGGGCCAATGCGCGATGCAGAGCTATGATCTTAGTGGGGACAAGTGGACATTGCTGTCCGCATTGCGGATGGTGGGAACGGCAGTTTTGGCGGTTATCGGGTTGTCGAGAGTGGTGTCGCAGGGTGGTCGTTGGTTGTTGACGCCATTATCTGGATTTTGATATTGATTTGTGGCGGCTGCAACGGAACATCCAAAGGCGTTTTCAGAGACGGCAGGCAGAATTTTCGTGTTGTTTTTGCACTAGCCCTGAGATACCAGACGATAAATGAAGAAGGTGGATTGCCGATCACGGGAACATTTGGTTTATTGTTCTGAGCTTCCGAACTTGTGCAGGAGTCCATCGTCAGAGATAGTAACAGCAACAGAACAAGCGACAGTTATAGGGCATGGAGGCCAATCATCAACCGACGGCGCAAGACTGGAGGTGACTACGAAGGGCTCTTTACGCCGGTGCCAGATCGATAAATCCATTGACTGAGTTCTCATCTGAGGCCCAGGCTGCAATCAATTCTCGGCTTGTTTTGTCTCCGACGTGGACGATAATGTTGGTGGCTGCGAGATTAAACTCATGATCCATTTCGTAGGTGTG